AAAGTCTATTATAATTATTTTCCAGTAAAAACTACAATTTTCTTCGTTCTTATTTTCCCTATAATTTTCATTTTTTTTAATCGTTGAACATAAAAATCGTGTAAACTCCACCAACGCTCTATTGTTCATGTACTAAAAATAATACAAATTGAAATACTTTATAGTCATATATCCAAATGAGTACAACGTACAACCAAATGTTAAATCGATACCAATACAATGAAGAGAATTTCAAATCCAAATGCTCGTTAATCAGCAATTTATTGTTATGTTGAAGTATATACCGTTAAGAAAAACTTTTGCACTATTGTCTTCTGGTGAACTTAAAATATGACTGCATAGTGGCAGCAATCTCATCTCGTATCACGAATTGCCCGGAAGGTATACATATATACATCTATACACAATCTATTGTCTTTCTCTATAGACTTTATACATATCGAAAGGAACGTGAATGTTATAAAATTTATAACAAGCCGTTGACGAACATTCTAAAGCCAGTCTCTTTCTCCATATTAAATGTCAAAGAATAAACATAAATTATTTAATATATTCTTTTAAACTAATTATCAAAATGTCAAATATAATTATTTCGCAATAACATTGAAATAAAAATTGATTACAGAGGGTCACATTTATAATATATATATATATATATATATATGATATATAAAATTCACTTTTGTCAAGGGAATTTTCAACTCAATTATTCAAACAATTATTCAACCTCTATAGATATTTAATATACTAAATTTAGAACAAGGTTCTCAAATTAAAATAAATGAGAAAATTTAATTTCTCTTTCAATTTATAATTATAATATCTACAATACAGATGCGAAGCAAATAGATTTTAATAACGCAAAGTGCATTACAAAAGTTGTACATACATCACTTTATTAAATTCAGACCTTTTGTTCTTTTTTTTAAAAACCCCGTATTCAAAAACAATCGATACAGGAATGTAATTTTTTTTACCCGAAATATACATTTTTATTTATTCCATATCAATTGATGTTTGACATTCAAAGGATGAAAAAAAATATTTGCCTTTTGTCAATGGAAAAAAAAATTCTATTTTAAATATTAAAATTTCTACCAAACGTTTCTTATATTGAAACGATTAATAAACAAAAAAAAATAGTTTCTCCCTTCGAAAAACATTGAAGTGGAAAGTAAACAATTTCGAATTGAATGGCAGAGTGATGCTTTAATATTGGAAATCTATCTTCGAAACTACTGCAGCAAACGTTTGTTACTTTTATTATTTTACTAATTTTCGAGATAAAATGCCAAATATTGCCTTTAAATTAATTCAAACGAATTTCCTCGATAAGTAATTTTTTAATTAATTATTAATTAAGGAGTAATTAAATTAAATTGGATCAAATCAAATCAAATTAAATTAAACATAACTAAATCAAATTAAATCGAAATGAATCAAATTAAATCAATTAAAGGAAAGGACAAATTAAATCAAATTAAATCAAATTAAATCAAATTAAATCAAATTAATTTAAATTAAATTAAATAAATCTAAATAAGGATTAAATTAATAATTAGCGATTTTAATTAATTTTTTTATGGTGATTTTTTCAAGCAGAGAATTTAAAAATATAACCGAGGCGAAATAAAAATTGCTTCACTAAGAGAGGTGCAAATGATGAATAATTTTCGACTGAGACCAACCTCTCTATTCTTCAGACTCCTTTACTCGCAGTAATTTCATTAACAAATCTTCGGAATGACCTCCTTGTCGCTGTTGCTATTGTACTGACAATTGCCGTATGATGACTTTAAAGAGTAATACCTTTTGTAAGACATGATACAAAGCAGTTGCAATAACACCAACCTTTCAAATATAGCACACAACTACTTTGAGCATCTACCTTCACCTCTTCAGACGATTATTACAAGTGCAATATTGAAATGTGAACGCAAGACATAAATTACTCTTTTTTTCTCTGAAATCAATTTCCTCATTCTTATTTGTTGTTAATAAGCGAACATCATTTGAGAACAACGCATTAAATAAAAAATAATTAAACAAATAAACATTTTTTTAATTTAAAAAATTTTTTAATTAAAAATAATTAAATAGATGCGAAACTCCTCTAATATTTACTATATGTAATAAGACAAGTGAAATAAATTTAAATCTAATTAATTAAATAGATAAATAATAAAAGGAAATTAAAACTGAATAAAAAAAGTTTTAATATTTCCAAAAATTAACGACAGCATTTAAAATACAAAACGTACTTAAAACATTTTGAAAATATGTAAATTAATTTTTAAAGCGTGCCGGAATATTATTGCTAATATAATATTATTGTAATTTAAATTTGAAAAAGAAATAAATAATTTTCGTTCATTTGAACGTTTCGAACTTTAGAGACATAAAAAAATAATAAAAAAAGCTAAATCTAATATAAACTAATAAACCTAATACTAAAATAAACCTAAAATTAAAGATTAGAAAAAATTCAGTTACTTTTATCTCTCAACTATTTCCACTTATGACTAATTGTACAATAATAATTTTTTACACAATTGAAATTATCATTATTTGAAACTATAATTTTTAGAAAAATAATATTCAGAACTAACATACGCCGCAACTATTTTTAAAAAAAGTTCAAACATAAATAAATCTACAAAATGGCTTACAACATTTTTATTAGAGTTTTTATGATTAATTAAATTCTTTTGACAATTTTCTTTCAATTTTTTGAAAATAACGTTTTTTAAATAATTTTAATTAAAAATTTGGAAAATAATTGAATTAAACAAAGAATTTTTTAAATTTTTTAAAATAATCTTGTCTGTTTATAATTATAATTGAAAATTTGATTAATTCAATTTTATTAAAATGCATTGATACTATAATTCAATTTCTGCAGAGAATTTTACTGTTTATAAAAGTAATTGAATCCTTCCAAAAAATGTTATTACATATTTAAGAAAATAATTAAATGTTTACGTAGAATTTTATTGGAATTTTTGAAAATAATTGAATTGTGGAGAACAGTTTAATTATTTATAAAGATAATTGAAATTTTGAGGAGAATTTAAAAAAATTTTTAAACATAATTGAATTTCTGCGAAAAATTTTATTGCTTTTGAAAATAATTGAATTGTTTTTTAGAATTTTATGGAAATTTAAGAAAATTATTGAATTCTTGTAATTTATGTAAATTTATGTAAATTCTTATGAATTTATGTAAATAATTGAATATATTGCAAAGAAATTGTTAAAAATAAAATTATAATTACGGTCACTAACTTCCCTTGATTATTTTTGAAAAATTTAAATAAAATTCTTTAAAAGATGTTAATTATTTTTAATAGAATGTAAAGAAATTTCAATTATATAAAAAATTTTCAATTATTTATTTATAAAAATTCAATTATTTTAAAACAACAGAATTGAAAAATTTCAAAAACTTGATTTTTCAGAATTTTCCAGTTAGTAGGAAAGTTCAAATGAAAGAAATATTTTCAACAATTACTGATTACAATCACAAAATTTCTAAGGATATCAAATTAAGACAAAAAACATATCAAAACGTTGCTTCAAGCAATGTTTTGATACATTTTTTTGTCTCAATTTGATATCCTTAGAAATTCTGTGATAAAAATCAAAGTATAACTGAAATATTTTGAACAAGTGATCCAATACTATTACAATAAAATTTTAATTGGAAGAAATAAATAAATTTCGTTCATTTCAATATTCAGCACTTTAGGAGCATAAATACTTGAAGAGAAGAAAAAAATTAAATTTTTCAAAATTTCGAAAATATTATTTCCAAAAAACAATCTTCACATCTTCTCTTGAAACAAAAGAAGATGATTTACATTCTTTTGAAAAGTACTGCACAACAAGAGAAGTGTGTATAAGAAATTTTTCATCCCAAGAGAATAACTAAAGCCCGAAGCTAAAATTGAGGAAGATATATTGCCTAAACAAAAGGAGAAAGCAGTCACTACTTTAACTGAACCACTTTCAATTTTACAGTGTATATATATACGTACACGAACCGAGAGAATATATTTGCTTTCTATTGCAGCACTGTATGTCCAGTACTGTGCACATTGAACACTCCGCATTCAAGTTCTATATCTATGAGCATAAACAGGAAATTAATTTTCAGCATTCGCGGCAAAAGAGATTGAATTGCGTCACTTGCGCGCACCAATTGGAAGGATATAACTTATTTTATCGAGTGGAACTAAACTTAATAAAATTTCAAGAGTAAATTTTTCATATTTCAAATATTTATTCATCATCATCATCTCTCTCGCGTAATTAGAAATTCTCTCTTAAACCAATTGTATAATATCGATTATTGATTATATTTTCAAATTATTTCAATGTATAATTTTGCTCATTGCCTCTTTCGAAATTAAAAAAAAAGAAAATAACTTTACTATATTTTTTTATTTAACACTTTTTTAAATTTTATCAAAAAATGTATTTATCAAAAATTAATCATGCATGAAAAAATAATTTCCATTTAATACCGAAAAGCATTTTTTTAAAGGACGCAAAAGGACAAAATAAAAAAAGAAAAAATTAACATGAGAGGAGACTGTAAAAAAATATTTACAGCATATTTCATAAACTTTTTTTTCATTGTTATGCCTAGAAAGAAGGAAATTTCAATTCCCTTATTGCAAACTTTTAAAGCGCAGGTAAAATGAGTATTTAATTAGATCCTTTAAATAGGTCAAAGGCTCAATCAACAACAACGCTTCTAAAGAAAATTATATTTTACGCCGATCGACAAAAAAGAAAAATCAACAATTCACGTAAAACAAAAAAACATTTTTCCCAAACACTCTATTAATTATAAAATTATAAATTTAAAGTATACTTATAAAATAATAAACAATCGATACCCACAGTTATAAATTTCTATTTTTAATTTTCAAAAAATAAAATATTTCGAAAAGAAAAACCCTCATTAAATGAATTTTTTTATTTTTCTGTTACAGAACTGCGAGGAGATCAAAACGAATGTTGAGAGATGTTTCGAAAAAGAACAAGACTTACATCACAAGTATGGACAGGTAAAGTTTTATGAAACTTATTTCTGACATTTCAGAAACTTTTATACATTAGGAAATACAAGGCTATACCGAACAAAGTATATAAACTAAATTTGAAAGTAAAACTACATAAATTCCCCTGTTATAAATTTTCAGAGACAAAGAAAAAATATCTGGAAAATCAAAAAATAACTTTAAAAAATATCTGAAATAATAAGCAAAAAATAGCTAAAAAAATATCTGAAATTAACAAAAAATAGCTAAAAAAATATCTGAAATAATATTTTTAAAAATATCTTTAAAAATATCTAAAAGAAAATATCAAAAAAATAACTAAAAAAGTTACTAAAAAATATATTTATTAAAAGAGAGAATCAAATTGAAAATCTTTTAATCATTAACGCTTCAGTGCAAACGAAGAATTGAAAATACTGTTAGCATATTTGCCGTACAATGTTAAAGTGCAAGATAACTCAGTTCTAGTGTATTTGTCAGACCCAGTGCACCTTTTGTTCTGACAGTATAGAATAAAAGCGACAATAAAATATGCAGGTCGAATTCTCTTTGTCTCGCATTTTTTTTTTATATTTTTCCTTTTTTTTTATTTCCAACAAACTATCAAAGCAGAATGATGAGGCGATAATTCAACACGAATATTTCGAAATAATGTATATATAATTACCTATATTTTTTGTCAAAGATTTTTCCATCCGTATTTGAAAATTTAAATTTACGAACAAGTAGCATATACTCTTTAACATTTTAAATATAAGTTTTAAATTTTTTTTTTATGAACCGCAGTTTTTTTTATTACCATATTCTCAGTACAATTTTTAAAAGCATTTTTTTTTTCAAACGCAAGATTATTTTTCCAAATGAACAGTAAGGTAACTATTTTCCTTTTGATATATTCGGACCATTTGCATTTCATGAATTTTTAAAAGCCTCTTTAAACACGGAATCAGCTTAGGTGGAGATTCTGAGTCTTTTCGTATAATTCCGAGGTCGATTTTACAGTCATTTATGACGTTTAAAAACTTTGAGACAAAATCCTGTGCAGTTGAGTTCTTCAAATCTCTCATGAATAATGAAATCACCGGTACGGATAATTCTAATAACTAGTTTTTCAACAACGTGAATTATCCTATTTGCTATTAAAATCATATGTTCTTTTTTCTATGCAAATACACAGGCAATGATTTTCATTTTCTCACTATTCTTTTCATTAAAAAAAAATATTTCCAAAAAATATTATTATTAGCAAATATTAATATTTTTTTGAAAATAAATTTGCTATTGTGTTGCTTAATTTAATTTTTCTAATTTTCTTTTTGTTTACTTTTCCAGTCATTTTTCTGCTGCTCTTCAACGATGCACTAACTCAAACAACAGAATCAATTGCCAAAATATCAGCAGAAGAACCGTCAAAACTTACGACACGAAGTCGAACAGTTTTACGAAAGTTTATAGAAGATAGCAGAACAAAAATTTCAAATGATGAGAAACACGACTCCATTTTCACAAACTCGACAAACTTTCATGATGAAATTGAGAGAAGCTCAACTCATGAGAAATCAAAACAAAAAGACTCAAACAACGAGTCCATCAACAACAACGAGGAGAAAATAGAAACGGAACCATCACTGAAAACTTTTGATTCCTTGGACCGTACAACTTTAGCAGATCCAATCCTGAAATTAAAACTGTCGAAAAACAATGTCAGCGATAAGACTTCAAAACTTGTTCCAGATGAAGAGAGTCTTCCTAAAACACCACGAAACAAAAGTAAATCAATATTTTTAGAAGCCTTTAATAAAGAAGGCACTAGGCACAATAATAAAAAGTCTGATATTGCCACACCCGAATTCGAGGGCGCTGATGATTATGAAATTGAAGAACACGACAATGAGCACAAGGAACCAACCACTCAATCATCATCATCATCAAACAAAAAAGAATCCCTAGAGAATTTTGATATTGAAAAAAGAAACGATGATGATGATAATGATGAAAAAGAAGATGGTTCCAATGATGATGATTCCCTTTCTCTGGTCAATGACACCAACGTAAATTTTAAGCAAACAGTTAAAAATGAAACAAATCTCATTTCGGAGAGTGATGACAGTATCGATATAGAATTTGGTCCCAAAAACGATGTCGAAGTTGTGAAAAATATAACTCGATCGCCGATAATGAGAATAGTTCAAGCTGCTGAAGAGAAGAAAGGTTTTATCAACACTGACAAAAGTTTCGTCGATAAAAAATTGAACAAACACGAGAGTGTGAAGAATTTTACTAAAAAACTTGAAGCCGATATCAGTGGTGACTCGGTTAACGATGTCGATTTAAAGAACGAAAAACTTAAAATTGATATATCTTCTAATCCACTTCCGTCGACAAAAATAGAAATCTCCGCAAAAGCAGATATCCCTCTGTTCAAACTAGACATTTCTCCATCAAAAATAGATGTCTTTTCAACAAACCCCGAACCATCTCCAACCAAAACAGAAGTCATACCATCAAAAACGGAAACTTCGAAAGAAACAGAAATTGCAAAAACAAACAAAGCTTCATCAAAAGTAGACATTCTTTCCCTCAAAACAGACGATTCCTCTAAAATTGATATCCCTTCGTCAAATTTAGATGACCTATCCGTTGTCTCATCAACAAAATTAGAAATTTCCAAAGTAGATGCAAATTCCTTCAAAGAGAACCCAGAATCCCTATCCAAAATAACTTTAAATTCTTCCTCAATCGAACTTACACCAAGAAAAGAAACAACCAAAACAAAAGAGTCAATCGGAAATTTGTCCGAATTAGCAAAAACGAACGAAAACGTTAGTCCTGCACCAAGAGCCCGCACAATCTCCTTCTCAGGGGTAAATGAATTTATACCGGAGAATATCGACTCGAAAATTGTCACGACAAAGTCGTCTATAATTGAAAATCCCGCGACAAAGAGACCATCATTTCATCTTGATAAAGAAGTCGATGTGAAACCTTATCCTTATCTAAAGACTAATATCAAGAAAACAATCGATGAATCGGAGGAGGCAAACAAAGCATCTGGCTTTGAAAAAAAACTCGAAGAATCCACCGAGGAAGTATCGGCTTACGAGAATACGATTGGACGTCGAGGATCTGATAAGTTAGTTATAACTGAACCTTCCGTTGTTATTGAGAACAGCATCCAGCAATTTAAACCCACCTACTTCAAAAGGTCAGGCAACTCAACAAAACTCAATACCACCGTTAGTGATTTTGGACTCTCAACAACATCCTCCGGCAGTATCCAAGATAATACAACACCATCTTATCCTCCTTCACCATCCACAATTAAATCTACTTTCGAAACAAAAGAAATCTTCGAAACAAAAACTCCCACAAAGCCAGTCATCGACAACGAACAAAAAATTGATCTCACCGAAAATGGAATCACTGAAACTAATTCTCAAAAAGATTCTCAAAAAGCTAATTCGACCAAAAGTAAAGATGTTACCGACAACAGTAACAAGATATTGCAGAAAAGTCAAGATACTACAGAAAAAGTTATCGAAAAAGGGTCTGAAAAAGGTTCCGAAAAAGAGTCCGAAAAAGTGACAGACAAATCAACCGAAAGTCCTAAAAATTCAAATTCCGATTCTCCGAAAAATGTGGAAACATCCGAAACTGTCGAGACTACAAAAGTAAACACTCCATCCAGCGAGGAAAATTTGAAATTAAACCTATACAATACAAATGCAACAGAAAATTATACGGAGCATCCAATAACGAATAAAATAGAAGTAGAGAATAAAAAAATAATAACACACAACTTTACCGAATCTAATCTCAAGGAACCAGAAATATCAAATACCGAAGCAACGAACGTTCTCTCGACAATCGAGGCAAATCTCAACAAGTCACAAGTTCATGTAAATAATGTTATTTCAACCTCGATGGAATTACCCGAAACAACAACAGTCGAGTACGAATTTGTAGGATTAAAGGAAACCACTCTCCCCACAGAAGACATTTATAGAGATTCTGAAAGATCAACAATTCCCGGTACAACCACAAACACATACAGACCAACAGATCCTAAATCCTCGACAGTTTCCAATAAATTAATAGAATCCCATTCTAATATTTTCCCCGACTCCAGTAAATCAACAATGTCCGATCAATCTACCGACACTCTTGAATCATCAAATTCGAACGAGTCAACTCTTTCCGTGAAAGTGACAAATTCTGATAAATCCACAAGTGCTGATAAATCTACAAATGCTGATAAATCTACAAACGCTGATAAATCTACAAACGCTGATAAATCTACAGACTCTGATAAATCAACTACCGAAGAGTCATCATCAACCCTCTCTTATATTCTTCGCGACGGAACAACGGAAACTATCTCCGAAATCGATACCCAAAGTTCAGAAGAGTCAACAACAATTGAAGATATAACAGACAGAAGTGAATCAACAGTGAATAAATTCGCCACATCTACTGATAAGTCCTCTGAAGGGAGATCCACTTCAGAGGATAAATCATCTACTCTAGAAGTTGAACCCGACGAAACGACAAGTTCCCTACTAACTACTTTGATTCCTAACGAAAAAATCACCACGGAATCTGTAGTTTACGATAGTACAACAAATATCCCCGATGTCGATACTTCAACTAATGGCGAATTGTCAAAAATAAATACAACAAGTGTAGACTTTACGGATGCTAAATTAACAAGTGAAGCTCCAATTAAAACAACAATCGATCAGCAATTAACGGTGGCAGATACAACTGCGATGCAAACCTCAACTTCTCCACCTAAACCGAGAATTATTTCAGTAACTTCCGAGAGTACAATTTCGAAATCAATAACAGAAAGTCCTATGCCGACTCTTCCGCCTGAAGAAATTAGAGTCTTTGTTCGAATTGTTTTTGAAGGTACTTGGAGTGATGTCTGTCCTCATTTGGAATCCATGAGAGGAATGATTGCTAATCTATTAACTGCTGGGTCAGACAGGTTTGTAATTTACTAATCAGAAAATACCAAAATAGCCCTAATTAATCGATTTACAATCTCTAAAAATAATGTCCCTGAAGTTAGCGTCAAAAACCATTATTTTCGTTTTTAGAGATTACTAATTTTACTTCTTTCGTTCAATTTGGAAGTTAAAAAATCGTCATAAAATTCCTGTGAAATTGTTTACTTCTGATAAGAATTGAATTCTTGGGAAGAATTTTATTAAAATTTCTTAAATAATTTAATTGCTTCGAAGAATTTTATATTTTACGAAAATAATTGTATTCTATGGTCAACTTTATTATAATTTTTCAAATTTAAAAAGCATTTTATTAATATATTTTAAAATAATTGAATTCTCGAGAAAAATTTTATTATTTATGAAAATAATTGATTTCTTGCTAGGAATTGTATTCAAATTTTTTTTTAAATAATTGAATTCCCATAAAAGAAAATATTATTTGCGAAAATAATTGAATTCTTAAGAAGAATTGTATTGAAAATAATTGAATTCAATAAAAAAATTTTATTAACTAAATCTTGTAAAACATTTTGTCAAAGTTTTTTAAATAATATAATTTTTAAAAGAATTCATTTAAATTTTTCGAAATAATTGAATTTTTCAATTATTTTAAGAAAGAACTTTTTAAAAATAATTGAATTCTTTCGGCGAATTTAAAAAAAAATTTAAAGAATAAATGCAATTTTCTATCATTTTATTTAAAATTGTATAAAAAATAATTGAAATTCTGCGGTAAGCTTTTGTTAGTTATGAAAATAATTGAATTCTTGCAACGAATTTCATTAAAAAAGTTTTTAAAGAATTGAATTTAAAAAAAAATAATATAAAATAAAAAATATTATTAAAAAATAATATTATTATTTATGAAATTAATTAATTTCTTGTGAAGAATTTTATTCAAATGTTTTTAAATAATAATTAAATTTCTCAGAATTTTTTAAAACTTCTTCAAAAAAATTAAATTCCATCGGAAAATCGCATTAAAAAATTGAAAATAATTGAAGTCTGACGAAGAATTATATTAAATTTTTTTTTTAAATAATTGATATTTATTTTTGAAAAGAATTAAATTCTTGGGAAGAATTTTATTAAAATTTCTTAAATAATTGAATTTTTTTGAAAAAGTTTAATAAAATTTTTAAAAATAATTGAATTTTTGCAAAGAATTTTATTATTTATGAAAATAATTGAATTTTTGCGACGAATTTTATTATAATTTTTAAAAATATTTCATTAAATTTTTTCAAGAAATTTAATTATAAAAATGAATTGAAAGTAAATAAATTTTATTATACAAAAATTTATAAAAACTTTGAAAAAAATTGAATTCTTTGGAGAAATTTTATTAAAATTGTATTAAATATAATTGAATTCTGAAAATGATTTTTTTTAATTTGTGAATATAATTTAATTCGTGCGATGGATTTTATTTAAATTTGTAAAAGTAATTGAATTGTTTCAAAGCATTTCATTAAAATTTTTGAAAATAATTACATTCTTTCAAAAAAATAATTGAATTCTTGTAAAAGTTTTATTAAAATTTCTTAAATAATTGAATTTCTTTGAAGAATTTTATTTTTTACGAAAATAATTGAATTGTTTCGAAGATTTTTACAAACAATTTTGACAATAATGTACTTCGTGGAAGAATGTTATATTTTACAAAAATAACTGTATTCTATGATCAATTTTACTATAATTTTTGAAATTTATATCATTTTATCAAATTTTTTTAAATAATTGAATTCTCGAGAAAAATTTTATTATTTATGAAAATAATTGATTTCTTGCGAAGTATTTTATTCAAATCTTTAAAAATATTTTAATTCCCATAAAAAATGTATTATTTATGAAAATAATTGAATTTTTAAGAAGAATTGTATTGAAAACTTGATTAACTAAATCTTGTAAAAAATGTTGTCAACATTTTTTTAAATAATAGAATTATTAAAAGTATTTTATTTAAATTTTTCGAAATAATTGAATTTCTCAAAATTATTTTTTTTCAATTCTCTGAATATATTTGAATTTTTTCGAGAAATTTCATTAAAAAGGTCAAAATAATTGAATTGGTTCGAAGAAATTTATAAAAAATTGGTAAGTAATTGAATTCCTGTAAAATTTTTATTAAAATTTAGTTTAAATAATTGAATTCTTTTGGAAAATTTTATTAAAATAGTAGATATTAAAAATAATTGAAATAATTTCTAAAAAAATAATTTTATGACAGTTCTTGAAGAATTAAATTATTTAAAAATAAATTGTTGTCAGAATTAGAAAAAGTTTAAGGTTTTGTATTAAAATTTTTGACAAATTTCATAGTTTATGAGAAAATCAAAATCGACTCTAAAATTCAGAATTTTCTTATAAATTCTACAAATTTAATTTTTACCAGTACTTTTAATAAAAATCCCTGACTTTTCTCTGATTTTCCTGACCAATTTTAATTTTCCTGACTTTTCCCTGAATTCCCTGACCTGTGGCAACCCTGCAAAACCTTTGAATTGTTTTCTTTTTCGATTTCGTGACAAATGAAGTCAGGGACCTCAAAAATACCAAAACAATCGTAATTTTTCAATTAGTTTACAATTTCCAAAAAACACCCAAAACAATCATAATTTTGAATTTAATTAATCAATTCACGATTTTCTTGTAGAATTGTTTCGCCCAGACAAGTAATATTCTATCAAACTGAATGCACTGAAGGAGTAATGGCCTTGACGTCAATGTCATCTTCAGAAACTCCACTAACAGCTCTGCTGATCTACATTGTCGACGAAGATGGAAATTTCGACGATTATCTGACGAAACTTTTGCCAAATTTATACAAGGTGTCCATGCCTACTATAGATTTCCCTTTACGAGTAAGTCAACAACCAAAAAATGAATTGCAAAAAACAATAAAATATCTCTGAGCAAACAAAAAAAAAAAAAAAACCGCACCTATTTTACAAACTTCGAATTAAACTATTTTTTTAATACAGCCAACTATTGTTTTATTACAGGTACGAAGCTTTCAATTAGTTCAAGAAACTGATTCCGGAAATGCAATAGCTGTCATTGTTGTCTCAAGTGTGGCACTTATTTGCTTAGTTCTCCTCGCAGGACTTCTAGTAAGTTAAACTCGTTTTCTAACAAAAAATTTTTCGAAAATAAAAAAACAAAACAAAAAATAAACTAAAGAATAAAAAACTACTGTTGAACTATTATTGTTGAAAATATTATTATTAAAATTAGTCAAATATTTAATGTTAGAAATATACTTTTTTACCGAATTGAGAATTATTAAATTTATTATTTAATATCTTTTCATAAATACTTAATTAAATATTTTATTAAGGGCATTAGAACCACAATGTCGTCACAGTTCATGTAAAGATCGTATGTTCTAAAACTGTGACGTCATATACTGGTTCATGCCCTTAAATAATTAACTAACTAATTTGATACATAAAAACTTTGATGCTTTGAAACTCAAATACATCGCAACAATAATAATTAACACACATGCACACTAAAAAAAAAGTCTTACTTTCAGCCTCTTTTTGAGGCTGAATTTAAGGTGTAAACGGAGTCAGCCCCGTTAGACAAGGACAGACTTATGTGAAATACATGGGCTGAATTTAAGGTGTAAACGGAGTCAGACTTTTTTTTTCCTGTGTGGGTTACAAAATTCTCAGTTGAAGCAATTAATTGGGATTTTAAAGAATAAAAATTGATTTTAAAATTCTAAAAAAATCAATAATTATTAGATAAAGATTCGGAAAAGCAGGTCTGCTAAGATTCAAGCATCGTGATGCAATGATTACATGCAGTAATCGTACGATGTCCTCTTCCAGCAATATAATTGCTTCCTATAGTACGTAATCATTCATAATTAGTAATGATGTGTGTAATTCACTGAGAAAAACTACACGTGTTTTTTTCCTTTTTTTCCTTAATGTATACCAATTTTCTTTTTTTTCGATAAGGAGCAAGCCTTGCAATCTTGTAATTTTTAGTAATCGTATCTACGTGCACAATTTAAAAATAAAATTTACTTTTGTTAAAAAAATGTTTTTTAAATTCAAAATAAAAAAGAGCTTCCAATAGTTGTTTAAATATTTATCCTTTAATCACTATTTAAACCTTTAATTCAGATTAAATACAATTTTGCAAATTTTTATAAAGTTTTGCAAAGTTTTATAAAGTTTTATAAAGTTTTGTAAATTTCCATAAATATTTCTAAATTTTTTAAATATTTCCAAATTTTATAAATTTAAAAAAATTTTTATAAACTTTTCTAAATGTTATAAATTTTTTAAATAAAATAGTTACACAAAAAAATGTTCTATGGAAACAAAATCAATACATGTAATATATATGCGATAAAAAGAAAAAAAACTGTCTGCCTTTCAATTTTGAATTTTTTCATTTTTTTAACAAATTTAATTTAGCGAAATAGTAGCTCTTTAACACATTTAACTGTTCCCTTTGAACGCTTAGTCAAATATGAATGTTCACTGAGCACTTGTAAATTTTTTCGTAACAAGTATTGAACAAAATTACCCAACTCAAAGCTCCAATATATTGCAAAATAAAAAGTGTAAATTTTTCCTTGTAAATATGAAACACGAGAGCAAAATTAAATCTCCCGTGGCTTAATGTTTTTTTTTTTAATGTGAGCATAAAATAGAAAATATATATTTTGATTTTTTTCCTAATTCCTATGAAGAAAATTTAAAGAAAAGATAATTTTTAGAAGTAAAAATTTTGATTTTAAACTTTAACCTTCTCTCAAAATTAAACTAACAACTTTGGTTAATTTTTCTCAAAGATTTTCAAAAATAAAAAAATTTTTTAAAAATTAAATTTTAAAATTATTTTTAATAGAATTTTAAATTTCAATCATCTTAAAATTTTTCATTTATTAGTTCGTAAACATTCAATTATCTCTAAAAATAATAAAATTGAAATATTTCAAAAAAATTAATTTTTCAGAATTTTACCTAAAAACTTAAGGAAACTTCAATTTTTTGAAGAAATTTTAAATTTAAATCTTTTAAAAATTAACTAATTAGTAAAAAAATTCTGATTCTTCATTAAATTCAATTATTTACCAATTGTTAAATTAATATTCTTTGCAAATTTGGTTTTATTTTAAATCTTTAATGAAAGTTTTAAAAAAATTTAATTATTTTCAATTCAATTTCATAAAATTTTAATTAATTTGAGACTTTTTTATTAAAATAATAAAAAAATAATAAATATACAATCAAATATCTTTAAAAAATTGAATTAAAATTTCGCGGAAATCTAATTTTTCCAGAATTCTAAATAAAATTATTTAAAACACAAATCTTTTCTTAACCAAATCTTTAATTATTAATCATTTTTACAGCAATTAAAACTTTCAAAAATTGTAGTTTAAAACCAATAAATTAAGAAATTCAATATTAAAAGATTTAATAGACAAATTTACATATCTGACAATTGCAACTGTTATTTACAAAAATCTTTCGAAAATTAATCATAATTAACAATTTAAAGAAAGTTATTGTAGAATTTAATTACTTAAGGTAAATTTAATTATTTATAGAATTGAGAAAAAATCATGTTAGTTTAAAATTTATCGCGATTTTAAAGTTTTTAGGACAAAAAAATTAAATTTAAAAACAAAAAAAAACAAATTTAAACAACGAAAAATTCAAGGCGAATTCAAGTTTTTAAATATTTCAAAAATATTTTTAAAAATAAAAAAAAAATAAAATTTTTGTAGTATTTTTATAAATTTGACACTTTTTCAGTATTTTTTATAAAATTCCCTGAAATTTCCCAGACTTGTGACAACCCAGTACAAAAATCAATGTAAATATAATTTTAGTTAAGGTAATAAATTTTTTTTTTTGAACAAATACCAATCAAATGTTTTCTTGTGAAAATATATTTATTGTTTACAATTTTTAATTTATTTAAATATTGAAATATTATTAAATAAAACAAAAGTATTAAATTAAAATTTAAATTAGTATTAAAACTAAAAATTTTAATTAATAATAATTAAAGGATAATAATAATAATTATTAAAATAAAATAGTTTATTAGTTGAAAGTTAAACCACAGAAAAAATCAAGAAAAATGCTAAAAATTTGCATAATAAATTACTATCATACTTTATACTTTCAAACAATGGTATTTCAATAATTCTACAAATATTTAAATATTCTAAAATTAAAATCTAGCTTCATTATAAATTATTAATGTTCCTAAAGTTCTGAAGTTTATACAAACGAATTTGTTACATTCTCTAAAGTTTGGAATTTTGCCAAACAAAATATTAATTTTCTCATCAAAAATTATTTACTTCATGAATATTAAATTAATTTCTTATTTCTCATCAAAATACAATAAGTAATATTATTCAATTTTTTCTTCGTTCTTACTTTCAAAACCTTAAAGACTTATTCGCACCGTTTTCGTATAATATTTAACAGAGAAAGATGTAAAGAATGTCTATTTATGAAAATTACAAAATGACCCCTCAGTGAAAAAGTTTTCCCTAAAGAAATTGAAGTTTCTAACAGGAAAATTCTCGTTACAGTTTATAATGAGAAAGAGGCAAACGAGATTCAATTATGGGGAGAGATGTCGTCCAGTTTCCTTAGACGCTTACAGTTTGGACAGCGTGTCAGCTTATAACAGTGTTCGACGAAAGGGTGCAATAAGAGCCTCAAAACGAAGTTACGGAAATCCAACATTTGAGGACTCAGTGAGTTTATTTCTCTTAACTATAGTGTGATATGTGAAAATGTCAAAACTAACAATTTTTCAAGACTAAAAATTAAAAAAAATAAAAAACAAAAACAAAATACAATTTTCCTAATATTGGTAACTTGTATAGTGTGTCTGATCATCAGACACTAAAAACGGAAGATGGTGTAAAGTCTGTAAGTTTAAAATCCGTGATATAATTTTGATATTTTATCCTCTAAACTTAGTTATACTGTCCTATAAAATTTACACCTGATAATACTAATACCTAACAATACCTAACAATACCTAATAATACCTAATAATAAACCCAATAAATGTGTAGACAATTTCAATAGGAAATTAGTTTAAATATTTTAAGGTAGTGAGTAAAATTTTTGTATATTATATGAATTTTCGTCTCAGTAATAAATTTTTGATAACAACATATCGATGAAATATTTAGTAACAAACGGAATATAACCCACAGAGTGCAATTCCTTCTCATCCCTTGAATTTCGCTGGACTCTCATCATTTTGCAACGATGTGAATGCGATCTCTGAGGAATTTACCGGAATACCTCAAATCACAGCCAAAATAGATGAGCTACCGCAAGGTGCTGAAGTGAAAAATCGATACGCGAATGTAATTCCACTTCCGGAAACTCGAGTACCACTCCAGAGGCTCAACAACGATCTACTTACTGAATACATCAATGCTAGTTACGTTCGGGTGAGCGTATATATATATATATATATACATATTATAATTTATCTGCACTCATTTGTAAAATCACTTTAGTGTTTGCACACCCTTCATTAATTATATGTGAAACCGCACGATCGTTCCCTGAAATTAGCGAGGGTAATTTTCAATTTGGTACACTGAGAGAAAAAGAATGTTTGAATCAATCACATAAATCTTTGACATATATTGATCAACTAAAAATTATTTTTGATTATTCTGTGAAAAATTTAGCAAAGTAAAAATGGCATCGAGAGTTAGGAGTAAAGATTTTCTTTACTAAAAATCTACTTTAAAAAAGTGAGTTAATCTAGAGTAAAACAAACGAGTTTCTTACCAATTCCCTTCCCAATTATTTTATCGCAATATATTTCTTCTTCCTTCCTTTGGTGAAGAAGTTCATTTAAAGGAATAAAATAATTATTATTATAATTATTAATCCAATTAACTAATTATTATTTTTATTTTCAAACGTTCTATTCTTCTATTAAATTTTTTTGAAGCAATTCAATTATTTTCAAACAATATAATAAAATCATTCGTAGAAATTCAAATATTTTAAAATTTTAATATAAAATTCTTCACAAAATTTCAATAATCTCTATATTTTCAAAACTTTTATTAAAATCGTGGAAAAAATTCAATTAATTTCATAAATAATAGAATTCTTTCGCTACAGTTCAATTATTTTCCAAATTTTAATATAATTCTTCCCAAAAATTCAAAATACCTTCATAAATAAAAAATTCTTCGGAGAAAATCAATTATTTTTAAAAATATTAATAAAATTTCTCGAAAGAATTCAATTATATTTTCGTTATAACAAAATAATAAAATTTTTCACAAGATTTCAATTATTTTCAAAAATATAACAAAATTCTTCACTGAAATTAAATTATTTTCAAAAATTTTAATGAAATGTTTTGAAACGGTTCAATTATTTTTACAAATTTTATTTTTAATACAATTTTAATAAAATTGCTCTAAAAAATTATAATAATAATAATAAAATAAAATTTATTTACTACAAATTCATTTTTATAATTAAATTTCTTGAAAGAATTTAATGAAGTGTTTTAAAAAATTCGCAAAAATTCAATTATTTTTAAAAATTTTAATAAACTTTTTCCAAAAAAATTCAATTATTTTCATAAATATAACAAAATTCTTCGCAGAAATTCAATTATTTTTAAGAATATTAATAACACTTCTTGAAAGAATTCAATTATCTTTTTATAATAATAAAATAATAAAATATTTCGCAGAAATTATTTATTATTCCGCAGAAAATAATTTAAAATTATTTGAAAAATTTTAATAACATTCTTCAAAACAATTCAATAAATAAAATAATAAATAATTTAATTATTTACAGAAATTAAATTATTTTCCAAAAATTTAATAAAATTTCCCGAAAAAATTTAATTATTTACAAAACGTTTAATAAAATTCTCCACAAGAATTCAATTATTTTCAAAAAGTTTTATAAAATTCTCCACAAGAATTCAATTATTTACAAAAATTTTATTAATATTCTTGTCAAGAAAATCTATTATTTTCAAAATTAAAAAAAAACCTTCCCAAGAATTCAATTTTCAAAATTTTAATAAAATTTTTCACAAGAATTCAATTACTTTCAAAAATATAACAATATTCCTCACAGAAATTCAGTTATTTTTAAAGATTTTAATTAATTTTTTCACAAAAATTCAATTATTTTCATAAATAAAAAAATTTGTCGCAAAAATTCAATTATTTTCAAAAATTTCCCGTTGCCATTTGCTTCCTAAATTTTTTTCCATATTCGTACACGTACAATTTCAAAGAAAAAATATTTCCCAGTTCAAATTTTTGTTAAATAAAAAATTTATATTGTTTCTTCATCAAGAAATTGAAAACAAAAAATTTGTAAACAGAAAATATTGTTTCCTGCATAAAAAAATATTTATTTCCTGAAATCGCTGAGAACGTTGAAAACAACGCTCCCACGTGACTAAAAAAAATTACTGTTTTCTCAGTATCAATTTTATGATTTTCAATATTCCATTATAACAAATAATATTTAGATTCAAACTTTAAAGTGAGAAAAATATTATTTCCCTAAATATTTAAAGTACTGCATTTTTCAATTGTAATTAAATAGTTAAAAAATAAAAAAGAACAATATTATTTATTACAATAATACAATAAAATTTTAATAATACAGTAAAATTATAATAATATTGTTAACATAATATTATAAGAATATAATAAAATTATAATATATTGTTAACATAATATTGTAATAATATAGTAAAATTATAATAATTTAATCATAATATTATAATTACATAATACAATTTTCTATTAATAATAATAAATTCAAAAAAAATTCCGCGGAAATCCAATTTGTTGAGCACATAAATTTCCCAATAATTTGAAAGTGCATTACTGCAACAATAAACACTTTTTTTTTCCTTCTCTTTTTCTTTCTTTCAAAAGAATAACAAATTTAGAGAAATCGACAAAGGTGCTTTAAAATGTAAATATGAAATTGAATTTCTATTGATTTATTGTACAATTCGAGTTCAGGGCGAATATGCTTACATAAATTATGCAACCAGTGGAACACCTATACAATAGCCCGTCAATATGGATTCTATATATGCCTATTCAATTAGGGTGTACAATTTATATAATTTTATTCACATTATGTGCTAGGGGAACAATCAAAAGCGTCAAATATTATTTTCCAAAGCGAATTAAATTTTTAATATTTAATTTTCATTAAAAAAAATATATATAGTTAATATATAGAATATTTCATTTTTGCTTGCCAGTGAATTCATTTTTCAAAAAATATTTAATAATTAAATTAAATTACCAATTTATTATGATTAAGTTAAATTAATTAATGAATAATTAATTTAACCAAAAATCTTTGCTGTCGGCACTTTAGGGTTTAATTTACCATAAATTAACTAATAATAATTTTAGTTTCGTTACATTTTGGAATTTACTATTTTTATGTGACTATTTTTTCCTATTGAACGAGTTTTTTAATCTAAAATATAAATTCTAGGGACCAAAGAATGCAACGAAATACTACATTGCCTGCCAAGCTCCAACAGAGTCTTCGGTTACAGACTTCTGGCGTATGATTTGGGAGCAACAATCTAAAGTTATTATCATGCTTACGGATCTCGTCGAGAATGGAGTTGAGAAATGCTCGGAATATATTCCTCCCTCTGAAGTTACAGATTGCCATCGACTTTATGGCGATTATCAAGTTACACTCAAGAAACGAGAAACCAAAGAAAAATACGCAATCTCAACCCTTTACTTGAAGGTACCGTTTTCTAATTAATTTTATTCATTTTTAGAACAACGAACTAAATAATGAAGAAAAAGTAAATAACGAAATAAATAATCAATAGGAAATAAATAACGAATAAAAATAAATTTAAATTTAACCATTAAACTAAATAAAAAAATTAATAACGAACAGGAGGTTAAAGTTTTGAACGTTCAAATGAACGAAATTTATTTATTTCTTCTTCAAATTAAATTTTTATTACTATAATTTTGCGTCACTATTAAGCAAATTAATTATAATGTTTCTAAATGTAAAATTTGAGTTTTTAATTTGAATTGTAATCAATAATCTATGAAAATATTTTTAACAAAAAATATTTCGTTCATTTGAACGTTCAAAACTTTTTGTTCATACGAACCAAATAATGAAGAAAAAGTAAATAATGAAATAAATAATGAATAGGAAATAAGTAACGAATAAAAATAAATAACGAGAATAGAAAATAATTATGTCCCTAAAGTTAGCGCCGAAAAAAATTCTTTGAGGTTTTTAGAGATGAAAATATCACTAATACTTCTTTCATTTAATTTGTAAATTAAAAAATCATCAGAACAACACAGTTCAGGGACCTAAATAAATAACGAATTAAAAAATAAATAACGAGATAAATAACGAATAATAAATAAATATTTAAATAATAAAAAAATAACTAAATAATAAAAAATAACTATAATAATAAAAACAACTTAATAATAAATGAATAAGTAATAAAAAAATAACTGAATAATAAATAAATAATTTAATAAGAAAAAAATCTAAATAAATAAATAATAAAATAAATAATTAGAAATAAATGTTAAATAAATATTTTTTCCTCTCTAAATATAGAATCTGGAGAATAACACATTCAGGGAAGTGTCGCACATTTGGTATCTTTGGCCTTCGAATGGAATGCCGGATTCAGCGAGTTTAATTGCTGTTCTTTTGGAGGCAAGAGCCCTACAAAGAGGTGGACCAGGACCAATTGTTGTTCATTGTAGTCCTGGAACGGGAAGAACGGGGACATTAATAGCACTCGACTTAGGAATCAGACAATATGAGATTACGCGAACAGTGGATGTTCCACGAGTTGTTTACACGATCAGAAGGGATCGTGCTGGAGCTGTGCAAACTAAAGAACAATACGCTTTTATTTACAAGGTAAATCAATCCGAGAGAGAAATTTCATTTCATTTTTCACCAAAAAAAAAAAAAAAACTATTTTCCTTATTTATTTATTCAATTATTAATTTCCCTTTTTTTGCTTTTACAAAATTTTATTTTATTTTCCCTGATTTCCAAATAACATTTTTACTTTTTCCCTGATCCTACAAAATTTTATGTTTTTCTAGACTGTAAAGAATATTTTATTTATTATTATTATTTTTATTATTTATTGCTATACATTTTATTATTTTAATTCACTTTCAAAATAATTGTAAAAATTTATTCGAAAAAAATGAATATACCTTTATTTAAAATAAATTTTTAATCATTATTTTTCCACAGGAATTAAGATTTTCAAAAATTTTTAATTCAAATCTTTTGAAATTCAATAACTTATAAGAATATTTATTATAAAACATTTCAAATAATTATAAAAAAAGTTCAATTAAACTTCCAATTTTCAAAAATTTTAATTTGTAACCTTTTCAAAATTCAATTATTTCTAAAAATTTAGGCTATTATGCTTTTAATATTCAATTATTATCTAAAATTTTAACTGAAATTTATTTTGAAATCAATTTTTATAAGAAAATTCTACGAGAATTCAATTACATATTTGAAAACAAAAATAAATAATTTATTGTATAATTGAATGTTTTTTCAAATTGAATTCTCATGAAGAATTTTATGATTTATGAAAATAATTGAATTCCTGTAAAAAATTTTATTATTTATTATTTATTATTTATTTGTAAATAATTGAAGTATTTCGAAGAAATTTAGAGCAAATTTATAAATAATTAAACATTTGCAAAATTTTTTATTTTATTTTTATTTAAATTTTGTTTAAATAAATAAATTCTTTTAGAAAATGTTATTAATTCAAAATTTTTGGAAATAATTGAACTTTTGCCAAGAATTTTATTAAAATTTTAGAGAATAATTGACTTTTGGAGAAAAATTATATTATTTATAAAGATAATTGAAATTTTAACGAAAATTTAAAAAAACATTGAACATAATTGAATTTCTGCAATAATTTGTAACTTTTCCAAAATTCAATTTTTTGAGTGTTCTTATCTAAAATTCTCCTATTCCATTATTAAATTAATTTTGAAATATTTAAGTAAAATTATTAAATAAATAATTTATAAATAATAATTTTTTGATAGTTCTTCAAAAATTAAGTTATTTAGAAAGAAATTATTGTCTAAAAAAATTTTCAAAAATTACAGTTTCACTAAAAATTTGAACGTTAAAAAGAATCAAAATTTATCTTCTTTTTAAACATTTTTAAAAATATTACTGCAATAAAAATAAAAAACGAATAAATTAGTTATTTACGTCCATAAGATTTAACCTCTTTTTAAATTACAAAATGTATTTTCCGTAATGAAATTCAAACTTCATAGTATAAAAACAATAATCGCTTTAGAATCATATATTAAAATAATAAACTTAAAAAACAAATAAATTAAAAGTTCACTTCCTTAAGAATTAACATTTCTTAAATTGCAAAATATATTTTCTAATGAAATTCAAATCTGATATTTGTGAAGTTCATTTAAACGTTGAAACTTTTAAGAAACTATGAATTTCACCCACGTAAAATTGATTTTCCTATAAAGTTTTGAATATTCAAATTAAATATTTTATTGTGAAATATTTTATTGAAATATTTTATTGTGTCCTAATATTTCTAAAAATAGCAAGACTAAAATGAAAAATATTGTAACTGAACATTTATTTAATGAGAAATTAATTTTTTAATTACAAAAAAAAATTTTGCAAATAAAATTCAAAGTTTAAAAGAGTAATAAAAACATCTTCGTTCATATAAACGTTTCGAAACTTTAGAGACATCAAATTTGAACAAAGTATCAAAACAATAATTCATTCAAAAGTTCTAAACTTCAGGATCATAAAATTATTTAAAAAGAACTTAAGAAACAAGAATCAATAGAAAAAAATAGTCCCACAGTGTAGAAAAGAAAAATGAATTAAATTTTAATCAATTTATTTGCAGGCGCTCAACTTGTACGCGACAAAACTATCAGGTGGAGCTCTGGAGTCAGCATAAATCGATTTTACATATTAAAACTTCCAAACAAATGATTTTGAGATTTTGTAAAAGACGGCCAACAATACTGTGTGATACGACAAAGAAGAAAAAGTCCCACCACCACAACAATTTATTTTTCTCTTTTTAAAATATACGTTACCGAAAGATTAAATGGCCCGACTATATAATAATGTGTGATATTCGGAAATATTGATATTGAGTATAAAAGGCTATCGTGATTAAACTCTTTCTATAATTAAGGCTTTAGTGAGTACCAAAAGAGAGAAACTTTTTTTTTTTTTTTTTTATTGAAGAAATACTTTTTTTTTGAGAAATTGAGTTGATAACACTGAATTGTAAGTATAATGATTGTTGAATGTACGTATGTAAATTAATGTAGTATTGAAGTTTAAGTTTCATTTTGTTAAAATCTAGAAGAATTGAAGACTTTAATTTCAATTAAATTGAAATTCATTATAAATATAAAGTAAAAAAAAATATATAGTAAAAAGTAAAATAATATATTTGTAGGGAAAAGTCTCGTCTTCTAGATTTTTGTTTCAAAATGCAGGGTTTGTTATTTGTTGATTTTATGTTTTAATTATAGAATATATTGAAAAAATTGTAGCACATATGGCTCTCTGTTATTTTGTATATATACATAATTATATTATTTAGAAAAAATCGCTAGACAAATTATATAATCATTTTTTTGTAATGTGAAACTCAGTTATGTTTAGAGCTTATTTTTTAAGTTTACATAATCAAATACTTGTATTTCTTTGTAAAACTCAATACAAAACGAAATTGCGTTATACAAAGAAAGAACTATTCCATTTTTTTTTATAATATTCACATAAATCTTGTCTTTCATTTTAATTTTTATTCACTATATTTTCTTATATTAATCCATCGTAAAATTCCAAGAGAACAAAAATTCGAAAAAAGCAGTAGTTAAATGAGCTAAAAAGCACAATAAATCTATAGACTAGATTTTTATTTATAGAAAAGTTTACTAAATATTAAACAATATTGAATATATTGCTTACTACGAGATTAAATTTTAAAAACGAAAAACTTTTTCCCGAAACAAATTAGAAGAGAATTTAATTTAATTGTATTTTTTTTATAATTTAAGATTAATTTCAAATGGCTCAACTTTCTCGTAAGTAATTTTAGAGAAATCATAATAGGTCTCTCATAATAAACAATGAGAAAAAAGAATTTACAATGTTCAATGTTTAAGACTGTTTAAAACTTATACTAATTAGTACTAAAAACTATTTGTTTTTTTTTAAATGTCTCGGTATTATAGAAAATAGAAAATAACTGGAGAAAGTATTGAAAACAAGAATAAAAAAGTATTAAAGAAACAGAATTTTTAAATATAAAATTATAGAATATCAAAAACGAATAAATATATAAACATTATTAGAGGAATCTAAAATATAAATATCGCCTCTCTTATACTCTCTAAAAAAACAAAGTAAAATTATCGCTGCGAAAAAAAATTTTACTCTAAAAACGAAAAATTTCTGTTTAAAGGAATAGTGAATATTAAAAATTTTTTAAATGTAAATAGATATTATCGATAAGACGGAAAAATGCGCTGAAATCGTCAATGTAATCGAAAAATTGTAACCATACGAACAAAAAATCAATATTTGATTTTTATTATATGTCGATAAATGTAAAATGACTATGATAAATAAAGAAAATTCAAATTCAAGAACTCGAAATTAATTATCAACCTTCACAAATACACCAAAAAAGCAAAAATAATTCTATCTATAATTATAATTCGAAAGCAGAATAAAAAAAAGAAAATTCGAAATTTCTAAAAGTGAAATAATTAATTTATATTTGTCGTAAAAATAAACTTGTATACACAAGACACTTCAGTTTTATGATAATTTTTTCTCCATGAGTATCAGGAACATTTCAAGCATTTGACATGTAAAAAATCACTGCACAAATTGATGTCGATTATGACTGCAAATAACCTCTGAAATAATTAAGGAATTTTTTTTTTAAAATAATTTTATAAATCATGAGAAATTTTAATAGATAATACAAGCACAGCGATAAAGTTCACAAAGTTTATAATCATAAAAATAATCATCAATCATAATAGTAATCAATTAATTAATTTCATAATCATGAAATAATAAATAAATATTTAATAAATAATATTAAATCAGGGTTGCCACAAAAATATTTAATTTTTTTCCCTGACTTTTCCCTGATTTCCAGACAAAATTTTGACTTTTTCCCTAACTCTAGAAATTTAGATTTAAAAAAATATTTAATTCAAACCTATTGAAATTAATTATTTACAAAAATCTTAATAAAATTTTCCACAAGAATTCAATTATTTTTACAAGTAGTAAAATTACTCAGAAGAATTTAATTATTTTTACAAGTAGTAAAATTACTCAGAAGAATTCAATTATTTGAAAAATTTGTAAAGAAATTCGTCGCAAGAATCAAATTATTTTCATAAATAATAAAACCATTATTTGGAAATTCATTTTTAAATTAACTTTTATTAGAAAATTTTTCGAAAATTCAATTATTTAAATTCAAAATAAAATAATTTATTGAATACTTGAATGTTTAAGTTAAAATTGAATTCACATAAAGAATTTTATCAACAAATTTTTAAGGAATTGAATTCTTCTAACCAATTTTAATAAAATTTTTAACAATAATTACTTTTTTCGGGGAATTTGATTAAAATTGTATCAAAAATAATTAAAGTCCTGCTATGAATTCTATTATTTATGAAAATAATTAAATTCCTGAGAACAGTTTTATTATTTATAAAAATAATGGAATTATTGCGAAGAAATTAAAAAAAAATTTGTAAATAATTGAAATCCTGAGAAATTTTTATTATTTATGAAAATAATTTAATGTTTGCGTAGAATTGTATTAAAATTTTTTTAAATAATTTAATTATCAGCGAAGAATTTTGCTGTTTATAAAGATAATTAAAATCATGACGAGAATGTTTTTTAATTATTGAAAATAATTGAATTTCTTAAAAGACTTTTATTACTATTGAAAATAATTTTATTCTCGTGATTAATATTGTCATTTACCTATAAAAATAAATAAATTTTGCAAAGAATTTTATTAAAATTCTTGAAAATTGATTTCTTTCGAAGAATTGCGTTAAAATTTTGGAAATAATATTAAATACATATTAAAAATTTAACTAATTTCAACAGAATTGAAATTAAAATTTTTTTTTAAATAATTTGAAATTCTGCGATGAGTTTTATTATTTATGAAAATAATTGAATCCATGTAAAAAAAATTGAATTTCTCCAATCATTTGTAACTTTTCCAAAATTCAATTTTTTAAAAATATTTTAAATTAAAATTCTTCTGCAAATCTATTATTTTTAATTTTTAATAATTAATAAAATATTATATTAAAAATGTAACTAATTTCAGAATTTGAATTATTAAAATTTTTGAAAAATCTAAGTTCTTTAAAATTTCTAATTAAATTCATTCAAAATTGAAATTTTGTAAAATTTAATAATCATAATCATTAATCTCATCATCAAAGAAAGAAATTTTCTTGACGAAAGCAGCAAAATGTTTTCTCTACAAATTTTGTTTCTAAATTGATCACAAAATTATGTAAAATATTTTTTATAAAAAAATCCATAAAAATTTGAATAGAAAAATATTTTTTGTTTTAAATTATTGATTATGAACATTGTGAACTTCACCAAAGTAAACAAATATTGTGAGATAGAAACGTCAACTTACGGAAGTTTCATTCGCATGAAAATCCAGCATGTGATAAAAGAGACAACTATACTAATAAATCCTACACTTATCAAAAGAATTCTATTTAATTTTGGCGTCGATGGACTGTGCGTTTGGTCCAGAACAATAAATCCTAATCCTCCTAAAGTAAAGAGAAAACTAGACGCTAAACCTTCCATTATATATTGACCATTTACCCTGTACGGCATGAAAGCAACCTACAAAAATCAAATTATTTTTAAAATATCCATCTAAACGTCAGGCTTAATTTTATTTAAAAAATTCCGTCTAAAATTCTAAGAGTAAATAACAATATTTCGAATTTACTTACAGGTCGACTATGACCATGTTCGTCAGTTGTAGACCCAACACTTGGAGGTTCAAGAATAACATCATAAATAATGCCTAAAATATCAACAATTAATAATGCAAAAAATCGAAAAATAATCGAATTAATTCAATATTGGAAAAATAATTAAAAAGACAACAATTACCTCCTGTCATCAAAAAATACGAGAGGAGAACAAATGAAAAAACAACCATTGCACTTGGTTTCATAAACCATGATGGTTTTTTTAGTTTTAAATTTGGCACTTCTAAAACATAGAAGGGTAATCTATATACAAAATCCATTTTTTTCACTTTTATATACAAAAATTTTATTTGTATAAAAAGTATAAAAACAATCAGACACGTCACTTATTTCTGAGGTTATGTTCATCACCGGTAAACGCAACACTGCAGTCAACAGAAGAAGGAAAATATCGAAAAACTCCCTAACTATACACTATACTACCAACATTGACTACCGAAAGGAGCAATTTTTAAATTTTCCTCTTTAAATTTTGAAATTCTTTTCAACATTTTTTATTGAAAATTGTTCCGAATTTTCCCAACGTTTGCAATTTTTCTTTTTTTCGAAAAATTGGCAATAGTGAACAAAAATTGTTCCGTTTCTATAAATTTTAATTGGATTTCGTGTTCTCATAATTATACCTCATGGGATATTAAAAATAATTGGTAAAAAAAGTAGTAGTCAAAATTTAAAAATATAAATAAATATCTAACCATTTGTTGTTCCTCTTACGGTAAACTGTTGATATAAATTGGACATCTTGGTCTTGTAATCCTTGGGTTATTTTCTTGTCACAAATTCACAATATCACAATTCACTCGAAATAAAATATTCGATTCAATGCACTTTAATTTATTAATAATTTTACTTTGAATTTCACCAATTTATAGAGAAAAAAACTACAATTTTTACACATGAATTTTTTTCACAAGCAATCGAATATTTTTCACTCCCGCACTGATTTTAACACAATAAAAATCAAAAGTGACTAAAAAAGAATTTAAACTTTGTAAAATAAATAATTTGACTAAATTTTCCATTGAAATTGATATTAAAATCATCGTTTTTGCAAAAAATGTATTTTTTCTACTCTGGAATGAACATTTTTTTTATTTAATTCCCCAAATAAATTTACTCAACTATGAAATTTGGTCATTTTTTCCTGACAAAATTTTGTCTACAATTGTAATTTTTCCATTGTTTTCAATTCTATTTATAAATACTCCAAAAGAGGCGAAATACATTTTGAAGTTTTGTTCCGAAATTATTTGATACTACAAATGTTAGAAATGAGAAATAAATAAATTAATTCGCGATAATTTCTACAATGTGATAACTTACTCGTGATATTCTTTTCAAGATAATTATTCATTAGTTTATGAAAAATAAAATAAAAGCAGTAATAGGATAAAATTAACTATACTCGACAAAACTTGATTATTTGTTTTAACAATAATAATATTTAACGAAATACGAACAAAAACAAATTTTTCTGTCATGGCGGACAGTGTACTGAGCAAAGTTGAGTAGATCGCGCTCTAAGCAGCAAAGATGGGTAGATTACGTTTAAGAATAAAAACAATGGAAAAATAAAAATATAAAAAAAATTTTTATATAAATTATATTTTATAATAAAAAAAATTAAATTAATAATTAAACCGTATTTTTTTCATTAAACAAAAGCTTTTTTGTTCCTTTCTCTCTTCTACATTTTTTACTTTGACTCTACTTTGCCCTGAAGTTGGATGCGCGAATGATCCAACAATGAAACAAAATGGCCGCCATGAAAAAATGACCTCAGCCCGGAACGCCATATAATCTTTTGCATTTTTTTATCAAAAAATCCAGAAAAATTGCATTGAAGTTGCAATCGAACGTTTCCAAATGCAATTATATGCATATTTTAGAAAAATATTGCGAAATTTCGATCGTATATATGAAACATGTTAGATTCGATTACCGAAATAAAAAGAACAAAAATACTAATATTTACCACATCTAATGATAAACTTTTACGAAAATCTTCAAATATACATATAAAAGATTCTAATTATTCATAAATTTGTATTAATTGCAAAACGATGATTAATAAATTAATAAATAACTTTTACCTAACGAGAACGACAAGCGTCCACCATTTTCTCTACGTCAGAGACTGTAGTGAAGCAGTGCTGCCAAACCAACTTCACGAAATTCCCAATTCAACCAACATGGCCGCCAACCTAAGAAAACGAAAATTCAAATTCACTGTAAATGAAAATGGATAAAATCAATTAATTTAAAAGAAATTTGATAGAAATACATAAAGCAAATAATTAAATACGTAAAGGGGAAAAATAATTTTACAAATAAATTTATGTTAAACTTTTTATATTAAAAGGAAATAAATATAATTTCCAATATTAAAAATGGCGACATTTGCACATGCGCAAATGTAGACTTGTGGTTGTCGTGTTTGTGTTGAACATAACCTACAAGTGTATCGTATCGGCTTTATTAATGATAGAAATTGACATTCTTTATAATATTATAATATATATATATAAAGGAAATTATTTAAATAAAAAGAGAAACAGGTATTTAAAAAATTTTTAGTCTTAGAAAATTGGTCGATTTTACTACTTTCTGATATATTTATTTTCTAAATTAGTTTCGAATGTAATGGATATAAACAAACAAAACGTAATTTTTTCGTATATTTTTAAAAAATAAATAAAATTAAAATTGTATAATTTTTAACTTTAGTTTTTTTAGTAGTTAAAGTAGGAGAAACAAAACAGTGTATAATTTTTATTATCAGAATTTTTCTGTAATACTTTACTATAGTTAAAATGTGTTTATGAATTCCACTACAAGTTGACAAATTTTTATTTTAGATTATGTATTAATTAAATAATAATTCATTTTGAATATTGTAATTTTATATTTTTATTTTTTTTTGTAGTTTTGTTCTCGTGTTTTTATTTTTATAGTTTTATTACTTTTTATCATTTTATTATATTCGTAACAAAATTACTTTTTAAAGATAAAACCTAAGGATGGATGCAGATCTTTATGACGAGTTTGGTAATTATATTGGACCGGATTTAGCATCGGAGAGTGAAGATGAAACCGAATATGGAAATATTGGCGATGAAGGAGATGATCGAGACAGATCCGATGAGGAAATGGAGGAAGACAAGGACGATATTCGCGATCAAATGGAGCAAAATTCAACGGCTGTTGTTTTACACGAGGATAAACGATATTATCCTAGTGCATTAGAAGTTTACGGTCCTCAGGTAAATTAATCGTCACCTAGTCTCAATTCAATTATTCTCAAATTTTTTTAAAATTATTTACAAGAATTCAATTATTTACATAAGTAATAAAATTCTTCAAAGAAATTCAATTATTCTCAAATTTTTTTGATAAAACTCTTTATAAGAATTCAATTATTCTCAAATTTTTTGATAAAATTCTTTACAAGAATTCAATTATTCTTAAATTTTTTTATAAAATTATTTCAAGAATTCAATTATTTTCATAATTAGTAAAATTCTTCAAAGAAATTCAATTATTCTAAAATGTTTTGATAAAATTCTTTACAAGAATTCAATTATTTTCATAAATAATAAAATTCTTCGAAGAAATTCAATTATTCTCAAATTTTTTGATAGAATTCTTCGAAAAATTCAATTATTCTAACCTTTTTTGATAAAATTCTTTACAAGAATTCAATTATTTTCATAAGTAGTAAAATTCTTCGAAGAAATTCAATTATTCTCAAATTTTTTGATAAAATTCTTTACAAGAATTCAATTATTTTCATAAATAATAATATTCTGCGAAGAAGTTCAATTATTCCCAAATTTTTTGATAAAATTCTTAGCAAAAAATTCAATGATTTTCAATATATTAATTTTAAAATTAAAATTATTTAAAAAGCTAGGAACAAAGAAGCAAACATAAACTAACTTCAAACTGCGAACAGATTAACGGAATACAACGATTATTAATATAAGATTTTGATATTTATTTAATTTACTGTATATTTATTAAAAGAACTTTTCGTTCGATTTAATTGTCTACTTCTTGTTACTTAGGTTGAAGTTCTGGTGCAAGAAGAAGATGCTCAACCTTTAGAGAAACCGTTAGTCGAGCCAACGAAGAAGCCGAAATTTCAACTGAAACAACAACAACTTCCGGACACCTCGTACAATATTGAATTCCTGGCCGATATGATGGACGCACCACATTTAATACGAAATGTCGTATTACTTGGACATTTACATCACGGAAAAACGACACTGGTCGATTGCCTAGTGAGACAAACTCATCCCTACATTCATTCAGTGACCGATGAGAAACCACTGCGTTACACGGACACCCTCTTCACCGAACAGCAAAGAGGCGTCTCGATAAAAGCCGCCCCGGTTACTCTTCTTCTACAAGACGTTAAATCGAAATCCTACCTTTTGAATATTTTCGACACTCCAGGACACGTGAATTTTTCCGACGAGGCAACGGCGGCAATTCGCCTCTCGGACGGCGCAATGTTAGTCGTTGACGCCGCCGAGGGTATGATGCTGAATACCGAACGCCTATTGAAACACGCAATTCAGGAGAAAATTGCAATCACCGTGTGCATCAATAAAATCGATCGACTAATATTAGAACTAAAATTACCGCCACTAGACGCGTATTATAAATTGAGACACATCGTGGAGGATATTAATAATAAAATAGCCGAACACTCGACCGATGAGAATCCCGGTTTTGTTTCACCTGCATTTGGCAATGTTTGCTTTGCCAGTTCTGAGTATAATGTTTGTTTCACATTGAAATCATTCGCAGCACTTTACGCGAGGCGAAGTCCATCGGTTAATGTCAATGAATTTGCAAAACGCTTATGGGGCGATATTTATTTCAATTCGAAGACTAGAAAATTCACCAAAAAACCAGCACACAATACTGCACAAAGAAGTTTTATTGAATTCATCTTGGAACCATTGTATAAAATTTTCGCTCAAGTTATCGGTGACGTAGATTCAACATTACCTGGTGGTGAGAATTTTTTGTCCCTTTTTTTACTAATAATCTATCAAAAATATAATATATAATTTATAATTAAATTATAATATACAATTTTTAAAATTTGGAATTTCCATCATCTTCACTATTTAAATATTATTTTTGTTTTAGTTCTGGATCAGCTGGGAATTAGATTAACTTCTGAGGAAATGAAAATGAACATCAGACCGTTATTGAGATTGGTTTGCACTCGATTTCTGGGTGATATGTCAGGATTTGTCGACATGTGCGTGAGCCATATTCCGAGCCCTCATGATCATGCAGCTGTCAAGGTTCAACATATTTACACTGGACCAACAGATTCGCCTTTGGCTCTGGACATGATAAATTGTGATCCCGACGTAAGTGCAATAAATAATTGAAAGTTATTTTTAATAAATTAATATCAAATTAATGTTTAAGCTAATTTATTTATTACACAGGGTTGCTACAGGTCAGGGATTTTTATTAAAAGTAATGGAAAAGAGTAAATTTTTAGAATTCATAAGAAAATTCTGACTTTTCGTGCCTTTTATCTTTGACTCATAAACAATGAAATTACCACGAATTATAAAACAAAACCTTCAATTTTTTCTATTTCTGACAAAATTTCTTTTTAAATATCTTAATTGTTGAAGAACTATCATAAAATTATTACTGAAAAAATATTTAATGAATAATTTTACTTAAATATTTCAAAGTTAATTCAATTTTAAAAAAGTTGCTTTTACAATTTTCATAAATAGATGAACTTCAAAAGGTTTGAATTTGAAATTTTATAAAATTTCAATTTTTAATTAATTTAATTAGAAATTAAAAGTGTTAAAAACATTTATAAAAAAATTGAATTTTTGAGAAGTTACAAATTATGACAGAAATTCAATTATTTTTAAAAGTAATAAAATTTTGGTCAAAATTTCAATTATCTTTCTAAATTATAAAATTCTGCTCTGAAATTCAATTATTTGCAAAAATTTTAATAAAATTCTTAGCAAAATTTCAATTATTTTCAAAAATTTCAATAAACTTCTTGCCAAAATTTCAATTATTATCAAAAAATTGTCTCAATTCAAAAATTCTTACTTCCAAAATCTACTATTTTAAAAAAATTTTTCAAAAGAGTTCAATTATTTACAAATTTTTTATACATTTCTTTGCAATAATTCAATTATTTTCCAAAAATTTTTGCAAAATTTCAATTATTTTCCAAAATTTTCCTGAATTCTAAGATTTTTAATATCTATTATTTTAATAAAATTTCCCAAAAGAATTTAATTATTAAAAAAAAAAAATTTTAATAAAATTCTACAGAAACTTAAATATTTTCATAAATAATAAAAATTTCACAGGAATTCAATTATTTACAATTTTTTTTTATAAATTTCTTCGCAATAATTCCATTATTTTCATAAATAATAAATTATATTTTACTGAGTATCAATTAATTTTAATTAAGTTTCTCCAAAAATGTAATTATTCTAAAAAAATTTATTTTAATTTTACAAAAGAATTCAATTATTTAAAAATTTGTTAATAAAATTTTGTCAAGAATTCAATTATTTTCAATACAATTTTAATAAAATTTTTCTCAACAAGATTCAAATATCTTTAAAAAATGTAATGAAATTCTTCGAGAGAATTCAATTATTTTTAAAAATTTTGATAAAATTCTTTATAAGATTTAAATTATTTTCAAAACTTACAATTTTAATTAAATTTGTTGAAATAATTTAATTATTTTTAAAAGTTCTTAATAAAAATCTTTAAAACAAATCAATTCTGTTTAAAAATTTTTTAAAAATTATTCCAAGAATTCAATTATTCTCTTAAATTTTAATAAAATTGTTCCCAAGAATTCAATTATTTACATAAATAATTTCTGGAAGGAATTCAATTATGTCGATAAATAAAAAAATTATTCCCGAAAATTCAATTATTTTGAGGCATTTTAATAAAACTGTTTACAAAATTCAATTATTTACATAATTAATAAAATTCATTGCAGAATTTCAATTATTTTTAAATGTTTCATTTAAATTCGTCAAAAGAATTCAATTATTTAAAGTTTTATTGATAAAAATCTTTATGAGAATTCAATTTTAAGGAACATTAAATTATTCAATATATTATTTATTTTTGTATTTAAATAATTGAATTCTCGTAGAATTTTTAAATAAATATTGGTTTAGAAATGAATTTTAATTAAAGTTTCAAATAATAATTGAATATTAAAATCATTATAGCCTGAATTTTTAGAAATAATTGAATTTTGAAATGGTATCAAATTAAAATCTTTGAAAATTTGAAATTTTCATGCTTTTACTAACAATTCTGCAGAATTAATTTTTTTGAAAAAGTTTAATTGAATTTTTTTAAAATTATTCGAAGTTTTTGTTTTCTAATACAAAATTAAAGAATTTTTGAATAATCAAAATTTCGTAAAATTGAGTTGTAAATAAACGGATTTGAAAATTTTCAAAGAATTGTTTTAAAAATTATTGATTTAATAAGAATTGTTTTACAATAATATTTTTCTAAGTTGTTGAATTTTAAAAAGATTTGAATTTGAATGTTTTGAAGAATTTTAATTCCTATGGAAAAATAATAATGATAAAATATTTATTGAAAAAATAAGTTATTGATGTTTTCGAATAATTTTACATTTAAAGAAATTGGTAAATAAATGTAATAGAACATTTTTTTTCGTGTCTAATAATTATTAGAGTGAATCAGAATATTCTTTACAGTCAGGGGAAAGTCAAATTTTTGTCTGGAAATTAGGGAAAAATAAAACTAAATTTTTGTGGCAACCCTGTTACAATAATTCTAAATAAAAAATTTAGAAGAAGAATTTAGATTTATCTAAAGATATATTACCATTTACGATTTTTATTCATCAACAGGGAAGACTGATGATTCACAGTGCAAAAATGTACCCGACCGAAGATTGTACCCTGTTTCACGTTTTGGGACGAGTGATGTCCGGCACCCTCGAGGCTGGACAACGAGTTCGCGTTCTCGGCGAAGCTTACAGTCGCGTTGACGAGGAAGATTCACGTGTTCTAACTGTCGGCCGCTTATGGATTAGCGAGGCGCGCTATTCCATTGAACTGAGTCGTGTACCAGCTGGAAATTGGGTGCTCATCGAGGGTATCGATAAATCAATCGTAAAAACAAGTACAATCACAGATCTCACGAGTTCCGACGATTTATACATATTTCGTCCATTGAAATTCAACACACAGAGTGTGATAAAAATTGCCGTCGAACCGGTGAATCCATCAGAATTACCAAAAATGTTGGATGGCCTGAGAAAAGTGAACAAAAGTTATCCCCTATTGGGAACAAGAGTCGAGGAAAGTGGCGAACATGTTGTACTCGGCACTGGTGAATTATATCTCGATTGTGCAATGCACGATCTACGTCGCATGTACTCGGAAATTGATATTAAAGTTGCCGATCCAGTGGTGTCGTTTGCCGAGACTGTCGTCGAGACAAGTTCTCTGAAATGTTTCGCAGAAACGCCGAATAAGAAGAATAAATTGACAATGATTGCCGAGCCATTGGAGAAGGGATTAGCCGAGGATATTGAGAATGAAAAAGTAAAAATTACCTGGAATAAGTAAGTTAATTTCGAAGGTAACTACTCTAGTTTATTTTGAAATTAATCCGTGTTTTTTTTCTACAGGAAGAAATTGGGAGAATTTTTCCAAACCACCTACGATTGGGATTTACTCGCCGCGAGAAGTATTTGGGCATTTGGTCCAGACGCAACGGGACCAAATATTCTTGTCGACGATACTTTGCCTTCGGAAGTTGATAAATCTTTGTTGAACAGTGCTCGTGACGCAATTGTTCAAGGCTTCCAGTGGGGAACTCGAGAAGGTCCTCTCTGCGAGGAGCCGATTCGAAACGTGAAATTTAAAATTCTAGACGCTGTCATCGCCCAGGAACCTTTGCATCGTGGAGGTTTGTATTTAAATTCTACGATAAAGTTTGATTTTTTCGACTATTTTCAACAGGGTTTGTGTCATTTTCGTTTATCTCATAAACTGTGAAATTACCACCAATTCTAATACAAAACCTTCAATTTTTTCTATTTCTAACAATAATTTCATTTTAAATAACTTAATTTTTGAATAACTATCATAAAATTATTACTTAGAAATTATTTAATGAATTTACTCAATAATTTCAAAATTAATTGGATTTCAAAAGAGTTGCGTGTACAATCTTCATAAATAGATGAACTTAAAGGGTTTCAATTTGAAATTTTAGAAAAAATAAATTTTTAATTAATTTAAATAGAAATTTTAAGAACAACTGATTACAGAAATTTAATTATTTTCAAAAGTGATAAACTTCTTCGCATAAATTCAATTATGTTCAGAAATTTTAAAAAATTCTCGTCAAAATTTCAATTATCTTTATAAATAACTAGCAAATATTACGCGCGAAACGTGTCGTTCAATTTATTATTATTATTATGCAAATTACAGAATTTTCTATTTTCAAATATGAATTTTTGAACAATTTCAGATTCAAACTTTTAAAAAATTCAATTATTAACTAATTAACTAATTAATTATTCTTGTTTATTAATTTCAAAATATTTAATAAAATTCTTCGCAAGAATACAATTATTTTTATAAATAATAACATTCTTCGTAAGAATTCAATTATTTTTAAACAAAATTTTAATAACATTTCACGAACGAATACAATTATTTTCTAAAATTTTAATAAATCCTTCGAAACAATTCAATTATTCTTTTAAATAGTAAAGTCTTTGCAAAAATTCAATTATTTTTAAAAAAATTTCACGAAAGAATTCAATTTTTTTTTTTAATTCGTTATAAAATCTTTGCAAAAATTCAATTACTTTTAAAAAAATTTCACGAAAGAATTCAATTTTTTTCTTAATTCGTTATAACATATTTTTTTTAAAATCAATTATTTTCTAAAATTTTTAAAAATCCTTCTAAACAACTCAATTTTATGTATAAATAGTGAAATTCTTTGCAAAAATTCAATTATATTCAAAAATATTTCACGAAACAATTCAATTTTTTTCTTAATTCTTTATAAAAAATTTTTCAAAAGAATTCAATTTCTTTCTAAAATTCATAAAATTGAATTATTTTCAAAATTTTTAATTAAAATTATTTAAAAAAAACCTCCATTATTTAAAAAAATAAATTCAAATAAATTCTTCAAAAAGAATGTATTTAGAATTTTATAAAATTTGAATAAAATTCTTTACGAGAATTCAATAAACTTTACAAATAATAAATTTTTTTATGGGAATTCAATTATTGAAAAAAATTGGAATAAAATTCTTCGCAAAAAATTAATTATTTTCGAGAATTCAATTATTTTTAAAAATAAACATTTTCACAGGAATTCAATTTTTTACAAATGTTTTATAAATTTTTTTGCAATAATTCCATTATTTTCATAAATAATAAATTTTATTTTACACAATTTCAATTAATTTTAATAGAATTTTAATTCAGTTCCACGAAAAATGTAATTATTGTTAAAAATTATATTTAAATTTGCCAAAAGAATTCAATTATTTAAAAATTTGTTGATACGATTTTTGTCGAGAATTCAATTCTGTTTATAAATAAACATTTTTACAGAAATACAATTATTTAAAAAAAAAAATTAATAAAATTCTTTGTCAGATTTCAATTATTTTCAATTTTTTAATGAAATTTCTCTATGGAATTTAATTATTTTCAAAAAGTTTTAAAAACTTCGAAGAAATTCAATTTATTTAAATAAAAATTTGAATAAAATTCTTCACAAGAAATTAATTATTTTCATAAATAATAATATTTTTCTCCAGAATTAAATTATTTTCACAAATAAAATTCTTCACAGGAATTCAATTCTTTAAAAAATTTTTTAATAAAATTCGTTGTGAGAATTCAATTATTTTCATAAATAACAAAACTTATCGCAGTATTTCAATTATTTTTTATATAATTTTAAATAAAATGATAGAAAATTGTATTTATTCTTACAATTTTTTTTTAAATTTGCCGAAAGAATTCAATTATTATTAAAAAATTAAAAATTTTGATAAAATTCTTCATAAAAATTCAATTTTAAGAAATATTCAATAAATATTTAATAAATTATTTATTTTTGTATTTAAATAATTGAATTTTCGAGAAATGTTCTAATAAATTTCACTTAAAATTTTAAATTATAATTGAATATTAAAAACAATAGCGTGAATTTTTAGAAATAATTGAATTTGGAAAGGGTTGAAATTAAAATCTTTAAAAATTTGAATTTATAAAATACAATATTCTTATGATATAAAATAATGATTTTGATCACTCTGTCATCTTAAATATATTATATTATAATTATAATATAATAATGATTAAATATTTATTTAAAAAAAAATTATTGATTTTTTATTGATTTTATTTTATTTATTGAAAAAAAATTATTTTCGAATAATTTTATAATTAAAAAAATTCGTAAATAAATGTAATAGAACATTTTTTTGAGTATCAAATTATTTCTAAAGTGAATCAGAATATTCTTCAGGGTCAGGGAAAAAGTGAAAATTTTGTCTGGAAATCAGGGAAAAAACAAAATTCAATTTTTGTGGTAACCCTGTTTCAAAAATACATTCAAGTTATTTTTTTTCCCCATTTTTAATCATCTAAAATACTTTCAGGTGGACAAATAATTCCCACAGCACGTCGAGTGGCATATTCGGCATTTTTGATGGCCACACCACGTCTAATGGAACCCTATCTCTTCGTCGAGGTTCAAGCCCCGGCCGATTGTGTCTCAGCCGTGTACACAGTCCTGGCAAAAAGAAGAGGTCACGTAACGCAAGACGCACCAGTCGCCGGAAGTCCTCTCTACACAATAAAAGCCTTCATTCCAGCGATCGATAGTTTTGGTTTCGAAACTGATTTAAGAACACACACGCAGGGCCAAGCATTCTGCTTATCAGTCTTTCACCACTGGCAAATTGTCCCCGGTGATCCACTCGACAAGAGTATCACAATCAGACCACTTGAACCCCAACCGCCCACACATTTGGCCCGTGAATTCATGCTGAAGACCCGAAGACGTAAAGGACTCTCCGAGGATGTTTCGATTAATAAATTTTTCGACGATCCCATGTTGTTGGAATTGGCCCGACAAGACGTACTTCTCAATTATCCAATGTAAAATTAAAGTTATTTTCAATTACTATTGACTCTGTAAATATGCAATTTTCACGTCAATTTTTACCGAATAAATTGTTTTTTTTCACTGGAAATTAAAAGACAAATTACCTTACCAATAATCAATATATTCTTATATTGAAAATTTTATTACATACATACATAAAGAACATGGTAGGTCAATGTATTTTTTGGTTAATAATTATGAATTACTCTTATGCAGTCGTGGTCTGTTGCTATTTTTCCTTTTATCAAAAAGAGAACAAAAAAACAACAGTAATTCTCTGCCCAGGACATAACACAACAAAAAAAACTTAGTCATTCTCGCTAACATATATTAAGTGCGCAACTTGCACCATTCGTATTATATAATTAGATAGAAAAAAAAATAGTTTTGTCATTGATAAAATTTTATCAATGAGGAAACTTTTCTTTTTTTTGTTCATAATATTTAACAAGGGACGTTTTCATATTAACGCAGTATTTATACGTGTACACTTTTATATATTTATATACAAAACATGAAAAGAGGAAAAAAAAAAAAACTTGTCCTTTAGGCATTCATGTAAATATTAGAGGCTAATTTACTTATTATTGGAAGTGGATTTCTATTTCTAAATTTTCAATTGTGGAAGCTTTAAAATTATTTCTTTTTTTTTCTCAAAGGAATATTCTTTGCTAGTCTTATAAATTATAAAACAGCATTCACTCTATAAATAAAAAAACTATTCCTTCAATTTGTGAAGTAAAACAGTATAGAATTCACATTCATTTAAAATTCGTTTTTTCTTAACTTTTCTTCTGAACTAGATCAATACGAATGACATTTATATAATATATATTTATATAATTAAGAGAACTCTCTAAATACTGCGGCATTTTATTTCTATCAAATAATCTCAAGATTAGAGTAATTTTCAAAGCTTGGAATGTTTTTTTTCTCCTTCACAAAAAGAAACGAAATTTCTATTTTAGTTATCAACGATATTCGATCCATTGATTATAACACGTACTAACAATTATTAAAATTTTCAATGTCAAACTTTCGAAAATTCTAAATTCTAAATTATGAAAGATTATGAATTATATTTTCAATGATTAAAAAATTTGGAATTATTAAAGAATTATTATTGAATTACGAAGATTATATTAGTTAATTATTTTAATTTGAATTACTTCTATTTTAATGTAATAACAATTTTTAAATACGTCAACTTCTCGAATATTCGTAAATAACAAAATATCATAATACACCGCAAGATAAATCGAATTCACAACGAGTACAATAATTCTAGACTAATTCTACATTTTTCTTCTAATACAGGTTTTTAGCCATAAATATAAGTCTAACAACTCCTATTGAATTATTTAAATTTATGTCTATTGTAATGATACAACTGTGCCCGCATTTAACTATACGAATAATTCCCTCAAAAAAAGAGAAAAGAATTTTTTTCTTCTACCTTAAAAAAAAATTTGTCTAGATGGAAAAGAATTCCATTTGAAATAACACAATTAAAAATTAAGTCTCCTTAATGTAATTAATATTAATTAGGCCTAAATTGACTCAAAAAAAGTAAATTAATTTTCTCAAATGAAATTCAAATGGAATTTTTACAAAAACACTAAAAGTAAATGAAAAAAATTTTTTCTCTCTTTTTTCCAGAAATTATTCTGATAAATGTAGTTTTAGACTCTATATCAATGAAATATGAAATCTTTCCACTGAAAAATTGGAACAATGAAAGTAAGGAGATTCTCGAAGTCTTTTGCTCTTAAATAAATAAAATTAAAGGAAGAGAAAAAATTTTTTAATCAGTACAATTAAAAACAAAATTACTTAAAAATATATGACCAAATATTCAAAATGTCGAAAAAAAATAAATTTTTCTTTTTAATGAAAGAAATGTTTCCAAGAATTGAAAGACAAAAGTCATAAGTACGAGGCCCTCGCATGAATATGATATGTTTTCACTTTACTTCTTCACTTTTATAGTAAATTAAAAAGAGGGAAATAAAAAGGAAATTTCCCCGGAAAATTCATCGAGCCTCTATTTTTTAGTCCTTCCGTTAAAAAAATTGAATAGTTGATTATTCCTTCTGACTAGATAAAAATAAGCTTATAAAAAATTAGTTTCAAAAAAATATAGAAGACACTGATCGAGAAGAAGTAAAAACTCAGAAAAAGGAAAATTGACGCAAACTACACTGCGGAGGTAGAAAAAAAATTGACGACAGCAAAGTATCATTGACATAAAAGAAAAATCATTTCCTCTCCTTATCTTATGAGATTTTAGCTTTAAACATCTTAAACTCTATTTGATACGTTACATCTGCGAATTTATCTCCGGAATTCAATAATATATCAGAGCATTATTCATTCTTTGGAAGAAAAAAATTCCATCGTTCACAATTTCATAAAATTGATACAAAAAAAAAATGATCATTTAAAACTGTTTTCATCATCTCTCTAAAATTTACATCATTTGTAAATAAATAACATAAAGAAATAATTTCAATAAAAGAATAAAAAAAAATTGTCACGATGGAACGTTTTCTTAATCATTTCGCAAAATAGTGAACCAAACTCATGAATAATATTAAGTCTTTATTTTCAATATTCATTTTAAAAAACTCGTTAAAAGTAGGTCGAAGTCAATTTAAAACTAGTGACAATAATTCCGTGTTGGGAATTTTTCATCACTATCGACTCAAAAAAATGTTAATCATATAAAATATTCATGCGCTTGGCCACTGCACTGATATAAAATGAAATTAATTAACTCGTTTCAATTATTATTGACAATTAATGGGCGTAAAATAAAACGCCAATTTGTTCCTAAGGGTCAAACAATGCTATCCGGAGGATTAGTAAAACTCACTGGCTGAGCATTTTGAACGAGATTTGACTTCGTACTTGTTGATGCCGATGCTTGAGAAGCTGTCGCTGATGCTGCTGATGTTCTCATTTCATGGAAAGATGCCCTGAAGAGAAAAAAAAGAAATTTTTAAATTGTCGAAATTAAACACTTTTAGAAACATTTTCATTCTAAATTTTTGTAATTTTACCAAAATCCAATTCTACTGTTTGTAAAGTTTTTGTAAATTCGTTAATTTGCTAATATTGGGAATAAAAAAAGGAAAAAAAAAAGAAGAAACAAAAATTATCCTGGAAAAACGTATTTTTTAATTATAATTATAATTTAATTATAATTTTTATTTTTTAGTCATTGTTCCTTTTTTCCAAGACAATTTTCATTTTATTAAAAGGAATTATTGTTATCAGAAGCGTTCATCTACACTCATAAGCTGAAGCTATTTATAATAAAAAAAAAGAATGCAAGCTAAAGCAACAGGTGCGGAAGACTAATTAAAAAAAAAAAAAAATTGGTGAAAACAAATTAAAAGTAAACAAGCGTAGCTTTAAATTAGATGTATTATTGCCTCGTTAATGAAGTGGTGCAATTAATATTTTTGTTTTTCGTGGATTTATGTCGGCCTCCAGACATCAGGATCTTCCATGAGAGTAGCATGTTGATCTGTGGAAAGTGGAGCCGCTCCCTGAGGAGAACCCACGACAGAAGTTGGCAATCCTGTAGGATCGGGTCTCGCCCCTCTGTTAGTGTGTCAGTTTTCATTACAATTTCAAAACAAATACACAATTATCAGAAAAAATAATGTCAATTAAAATTTTCTTCACTACAACTTTTGAACTAAAAATATTTTTTAAAAAATCTGAAAATACACCTGAAATCTGGAGACAAAATACTCCTGCGAACTTTATTGTTACGGCAAAAATATTAAACCTTCTTTAAAAATAGCTTTGAATATATTTAATCAAATTTAAGTGTAAATAAATTTTAGAAATATTAATATTTTACTTTTGCAGGCCTCGGACCGATTTTAACGAGCAAAAAAAATCGCTTTAGTCGATTAAAAATAGAAAAAAAGTCGAAAAAGTCGTTCCAAAATTTAACACTATAATTCTTCCAAAAATTCAATTATTTTCTACAATTTTTAACTAAAATTCATCTCTAAACCAATTTTTTATTATAATTTTTAATAATTCAATTATTTAAATATAAAAAATCAATTTTTTTATAATAATTAAAACCGTCACTTTTTCTTTTTAAAGATATTAAGGTAGAATATTTTCAAAAATTTTAATAAAAAAATTAACTTTTTAAAAATATTTCTAAATACTTTTTAAAAGACAATTAAAATTTTTTAAAAGTTAATTTATTAGAATCATAATAAAATACTTGAAAAAATGATTTATTTTCAATTAAATTTTATAGAATTTCAATTATTCAAAATCTTTTTAATTGTATATTTCAAGAGTTTAATTAGAAAAATTATTCAAAAATAAATTTCCAAAGATTTGACTATAGTTCTGCTTTTCATACTATAAAAATTGAAATAATTTGGCATTTTATACTAAAAATATTTTGTCGCAAAATTTGGAAGAAAAGTCGAAAAAGTCGCAATTTTTTAATATAAGTCGATAAAAGTCGCATTATTAGAAAAAATTCGAAATTTTCATAATAACCGAGACCTGCTTTTGCGTTAAAATCTTCCCACAAAAAATTTTAAATCGAAACAACTTTTCTAGACTGACACATAGACGAAAATACAAAAAAAAAACACACGTACACAAAAAAGAATAATTATTCTTTTTTCCATTATGCATATTAGTAGGACAAAAAAAGAAACAAAAATATTTCAATTAATCGAAATGGTAATTTGTCGCAATATGAATTAATTAGAGATGATAAATGATTGCGTCTGCCACCTCAAAACACATCTTCACAAAACATTAGTTGTTTTACAGTAAAAATTAAATATTGAGTATCTGCAAAACAAAGAAGCACTTTTTAAAACTGTATACTCACTTTTTTCCAATTGCCATCATTCCGTAAATTAATCCAGTTGCAAAAATTAATCCACTACCAAAGAAGATGCTGACACCTAGGCACAAAATTAATGGCACAATACCTAATCTGAAATAGCAAAAAAAAAAAAAGAAAACGATTAATATGGAAATAAAAAATAATTGCACTGTTCTAATTTTTAATTTTAATTTTCAAAAAAAGGTACTTACGCACAATAGAAGGCAGCTCTGTTCCAATATGGTCTTTTTTCCACTATATCACTGAAATTTTGTACGAAATCTAAAAATAAGCAACAACAAGGAGCTTCGACAACAACAACAGTGAATCCAGCAAGCATTAAACAAATGCTCCCCAGTATACAAGAAACGTTGAAAATTGAAGTTATGATATTAAACAGTCCCATAATTATCGCAACTGAAACAAATTTCGAAAATATTAGAAATTTTCAACAACCTCGAATATTAACATCAAGTTTAATTTTCATAAATTTTAATAAAAATAGAAAAATATTATTTTCAATTAAGTTCTAAATTTATACTTAATCGAAAACTAGTTTACTATCTTAGAAATTTACATCGAATCGTATGAATCGAATATTAAAAACGATCCAGTAAAATTCTATACACTCTTTACATAATTTAGCGTTTCTTTGAATATTCAATGTAAATTTCCGATCTGAATTAACAATCTTAATCGAGATAAATTGATTTCAACGAAAAAAACTAAAAATTCTATTCTAGATATAACTTCCTTTTATGATACAACAGGTGTTCAGTTCTTTTAATCCCCCCTTTTTGAAAAATAAAACCCAACAAAGAATTTACGAGAAAAATATGGAAAAGTATCCTAATTATCGATACACATTAGCGATCAAAGAGAAATTATGGATTGAATATAAAAATAGGCAGACATTGATCGGAAAAAGGAAGCTTATCAAAAAATATGGCCGATGAATTTATCTCGATTAGAAATAAATTTTCATAGTAATTAGGGAAATTAGAAATATATAAATATACTTACTGCCACCTCCTACTGTACCGAGACCTCGTCCCGAGTACTTCAACCACCAGGGTACATCGTCCTTGGCGACGAGGTCCTCACCTGGCCTCTGCATGATAGCTGTCAATTTTTCTCCAAACGACTGAAAACAAAGGACACTTTCACTTTCTGAAATAAATTCCCGTATTTGTTAAGCACTCTTCATTTGGGAGAATTCACACTAATTACCATTTTCTTTTATATCGCGTACCCTACCCCAAACAGCTGACAAATAGCTGAATTTTATCGTCGTATGGAGAGAGAGATTTTTTTGGGGATGCAAAATGTAACCCTGCTACAAGGAAGGCTGGAGCACGCTCTGAAGTTGGCGAGTATCGAACACTTGGAGAATATCGATGTATTAATTATCGATATTATTTAAATTTTCGAAAAGTTCTCTCATTTTTCTTTAATTAAAGAAAGATATTTTCTTCTAACTATTAAAATATTTATTTAATATTATTTTTTTTTATTTATTATATATATTTATAATAAAATGTACGTCGAAAAATTCGATATAGGAATTGGGGTTGGGTAAGTATATTCAAAATTGCAATTACCCAACCCTGGGCATTTTGCGCAAAAAGCGTCTGCTTTCCAAGACGGAAATTTCCTAACGTGTTTTGTTGTATATTATAAATAATTATGTATTAAAAATATAAGTTTGATAATATGGCTGGTTATAATTTGAAAAATAAAGAAGAAGTCAAGGAGTATCTCAAAAAACTTCACATAGAATATAATTTTGGTTGTTATAGTGAAAAAAATCCAGAAGGTAAGATTTTAGACAAATCAAAATATAACCTCTTCTATAAGAGAAATTTAATCAACTTTTTGATTTGTGTCATTTTTTATCCAGTGTGTCATTTGCTTGGTGATTATAATGAGGCAATATTTAAGAACTACAAAAAGAGTGCTGAACTTTTCAAAAAAAATTGTGATACTTTTAATTTTGCTAGAAGTTGCAACAAATACGCACGCTACAATACAACCGGTAAGTTACGTCAATTTACCAACTTTTACGGTAATTATATCAACATTTCGCGGCAATATTCAAATGTACCTAAATGTTTTTTTATTTTGTTTTTCTAATTTATTATTATTATCATTAATTAAATTAAAATTCTTTTACTATTTATTTCTATATTATCAATTGTCTCCTAAATTTTTATTATTTTTGAAGAATATTTTAAAAAATACCTTAAGTGGTTTTTAAAATATGCACAACAATTATTTTATATTTTCAAATAAACAATAAAAAGTTTATTTTTAACTACAATTAAAATATTATTTATTAAATTTTTAAAATTGAAATTAATAAAAAATTACAATTTTAATTTCCTACATAACTACTGTTAATAAAAAATTAATAATACAAAATTATTAAAAAATCGATGTTTAATAGTAAAAATTTATTAATTGTTAGAAAAAAATCGTTAAATTCAAGATAATTTTTTAATTTCCTATAAATTAATATTAATGAAAAAGTTAATAAGAAAACTTTATAATACAAAATTATTAAAAATTGATTTTCAATAAAAATTAATTATCTTAATCAGAAAAAATTTTTTAAATCCAATTAGTATTACAGATAATATTTTAATTTCCTATACAATTAGGTAATATTAATAAAAAAGTTAATAAGAAAAATTAATAATACAAAATTATTAAATAATTAATTGTCAATAAAAAATAATTATTTTTATTAGAAAAATTGTTAAATTCAATTAATATTTAGGATAATATTTTAATTTCCTATATAATTAATATTAGTGAAAAACATTAATAGTAGAAAATAGTTCAAAAATTAATTTTTAATAATTAAATTAATTTTCTCTATAAGAAAAAAATTAATTTTAATTAATTAATTAATTTTAATAATTAAAATTAATTTTCTCTATTAGAAAAAATTTTTTAATAATAAAAATTAATTTTTAAAAATTAATATTATGGAAAATATTTTACTTTCCTATATTATCAATATTAATAAAAAAATTTGTTAATAATTACAAAATAATAGAAAATTATCCAAAAAATTAAATTTTAATAATAAAAATTAATTATCTTTAGTAGAAAATTAGAAAAAATTATTAAATTCGATTAATAGAAAGAATAATATTTTTTTTATTTCTTTATTAAAAAAAAAAAAAAATTGTCAATCATTATTAAAAATAATTAAAAAAATAGTTGGTTTGTTTTTCTTTTCGAGGTAGTATTTATCTTTTCATGGTTATAAAAAAGAAAGCGCTATGGGGTCGCTTTGAAGTTCTGTTACCATTTGGAGTAAGATATTTAAATCCTTCAGACATGAAAGAAGAGAGCTCGAGTGCTAAGAATTAATAAATTCTAGAAAACACGTGTTACCCCCTCAAACTGATCGAAAATAATTTCGTAACTTAATTAAAAGCTTATTCTTTTAGTAAAAAAAAATTGTTGAATTAAACAAAATTTATAATTCAAAATAATAAAAATCTATAAATTAATTAATTTAATTGAATAATTAAAGAATTAAAGAATTAATTAAATAATTAAACAATTAATTAGATAATTAATTAAAATCTACAAATTATAATAATTTTCAAAATTAATTAGTTTAAAAATATTTGATAAATAGAAACATTGATTAATTAATGTAATTAACGGTTTTTTAATTAAATAAAAAAATAATAATTAAAAATAATTTAATTAAATTATTTCTAAATAAATGAATAATAATTTATATAAATTTTGTAATAAATTGAAATAAAATTCAATAATGTAATTAACTTTTTTTCAAAAATAGAATGAAAAAAGAAATTTGACGTTAATTAGTTGACTTTTTTCAGGTGTAGGAGTAGATGGAAAAGATTTAAAAACCGCTTATCAATATATGAAAAAGGGTTGTGAATTAGGTGATGGAGAATCGTGTTTATACACAGGTTTAATGATCATGTCATCGGACGATATTGGAGTTGAGAAAAGTGAAGTTTTTCAAGAAGGACTTGATAATATGAAAAAGGCATGTCACGAGATGAAAGAATATAGAGCATGTTCAGAATTAGGCAAATTTTATATCAATGGAGTAGAAAATTTAATTAAAAAAGACGAAAAATATGCAAGTAAATTATTTGTAATAGGTTGTGAGAAAGGTGATTCGTCAGCTTGTTTCACATTAGCACAAATGTACAATCGTGGAATTGGCGTTGTAAAGAGTGAAAAAATGGCGCACAAATTTAGAAGAAAAGCATCTGAAATTGAACAAGAAAAGAAGAAAAATGTTGGATTGCAATTCCATCAAGGAATCAATTAATGGGTAATTTTACAATTTTTCATTTTATTTTATTGCTATTCTTTAAAAAAAATTTCAATTCTTCGACTTAATTAATTTTTTTGTAAAGTGAAAATAAAAAAAGGTCAGTAAGCTTTTTGTAAAGTTTGACTGAATTTTCTTAAAATAAATCATTATTTCATTATTTTTATCTTTCTCATTATTTTCATTAGTATTATTATTAATAATATTATTATTATTTTCAGTTTTTATTACTGTTATTTTAAATATTAGTAATTAATTTATTAATAATTATTAATCATTATTTGCAGCACAACGGTTAAGAAGAAAATTGTACAGAAATTGAAAACGATGTATAGAAATGCAAGCACGTTGGTATTTAATTTCGAAAAGAAATAAATTTTTTCGAAAAATTTCCAAGATTAAATGATCAAAGTGCATTGCTAGAGATCAACAGATAGATCGGTTCCTATCGAACTTGGAAGTTGAATTTTTTAAATAGTAAATATTGAATATCGTTCGAGATAAGGAGAACCAAAAGAAACATGTAAATAGTAGAAATTCTTCAATATTTTGAATCGTCAGTAAGTTATACAAAAAACAAATTATAGAAACTTTCATTGGTACTTTTTATATAATGTTATTAACAATTATTATATTGTTCTTTATTGACAATAAATTAGCTGAGCTTTAAAATACTTTCTTTTAAAGATTAGAATTTTTCCGAGAATTAATAATTTATTAATTAAAATTGTACTTTTCATATCAAAGAAAATAATACTTTTATTAAATTTATTCAATTCATATAAAATTGTTATTAAATTAATTAAATTTATATAAATTAGTCAAATAATATTAAATTCTATTAAATTAATTAAATAATATAAAATTCGTATTCAATTAATTAAATTTATATAGAATTAATACAGATTTTTATTAAATTTAATAAAAAAATCAAAATACGATCAAAATATTGTTTCGAATGATAATTTTCTTTTTGTAAGTATAATTACGATTTATTATTGAATTACCTGAATAGATTTAAAAAACAATTCTTTTAGTGTAAAAATTTTAAAGCAGTAAAAAATATTTGCAAAATGTACATTTTTAAAAACATTTAACTGACAGAACTAGAGGAAAAATTATTTCGTACACGTTTTTACAACAAAATAGTCAATCACGTTTTCCTATCGATATTTAATAGCGAAGACCTCTTGTGTACACTGAAAAAAAAAGTTCATTGAATCAAGTAAATGCATTTTCTTGACCTGATTTACTTGAAACAAACCCATATTTTCTTATTGGAAGAAATTTATTTTCTTGTGTCAAGTAATTTTGAGCATTGATCAAAGTTATTGGAATAAGAAAATATGGGTTTGACATAAGTAAATATCTTACTGTTTCAAACGAACTGTTTTACATGCGCCAAGTCTCGAAAAAGTATTGAATCAAGAATATCATGTTCTCACGTCAAGTAATTTACCTTGAGTCATTTGGTATCTTGAGTCAAATAATTTTTTTATTTCCTTTAAAGCAACTATTTATTTCATCCAACACCCATAGTCTTGAGCCAAGAAAATGGGAAGATTAATACAAGTTAATAATTGTTTCAACTCAATTAAAAATTATTTTGTTTCAAAGAAATATTAATTAATCTAAGCATTTCTTTTACTTGAAGCATTTCTATATTCTCATGTTTCAAAATCATTAATTTCTTGCGAGAATGTTATATTTTCTGGAATGAAATATTTTATTTATTCAATTCAATTAAGTGTAAGATCTTAATATAAGTAAATATTTGTTTCAAGTCGATTAAAAATTATATTCAATTAATTCCATATTTATTTGAAGAAAGAAATTCATTTTCTTGTGTCAAGTAATTATTAGCATTGAACAGAATTCTTGAATTAAGAATGTAGTATTTGGCGGAACTAAATATGTAATTATTTCAACCAAATATTTTACTTTTCCGAAGTACCAAAAAGTATTGAATCTAGAATATATGTTCTTAAGCGAAATAATAAAGTATTGTCTGGAGAATTCATGTTTCTTGAATCGAATCATTTTATTTATTTGCTTTGAAACTTTTTTTTACTTAACACAATGCCGGTGTTCTTGATCCAAGAAAATATTTTTCTTCAAATGTATATGCAACTTAAATATCAGTTTTTGAAAACTGTCCATTGAGGCTAGGATGGCATAGTGGTAGCGTGACGGCTTCTGGTGCGTGCAACCCGAGTTCAATTCCTCCGACCGTGGAAAATTTTCTTTCAAGGTATATTTGTTGTATTTGTGTTAAGTATTAATTAAATGTAAATATATATGTAAAATAATAATTATTTAATTATTTAAATAAAAAATATAAATGTTAATTAATTAAATAATAAAAATGTTTGACCTAAGTATTAGAAAAGATGGGATGGAGGTAAGGGGGGGGGGTAATTTAAGTAAATAATTTACTTGTATTGAGAAAGTATTTTTTTGATTGAAAACTATAAATTTTCTCAAATCAAGAAAATATTTTCTCGGACAGAGAACATACTTTCTTGATTTGATACATAAATGATTTTGAATTAATATATTCTGCATTTCTTACATGCTACTTAATTTCTTGGTAGAATTCCATATTTTCTTGGATCAAGAATATCTGTTCTTCTCACAAAATAAATGTTTTCTTCATTTAATCTTGAATTACTTGAACGAACGTTACAAAACATTGAATGAATCGAATAAAATAATTCAATCATCTATATATATTCTTAGAACAAGAAAATATTTTATTCATTTAATACATTTTATATTTCGTATAAGAAGACTAACTTCTTGGTCGAATTCCATATTTTCTTGGATCAAGAATATATGTTCTTCTCCCAAATATCCTATGTCAAGAAAATCGTTTTCTTGAATCAATACTTTAATAGTCTTGGCCGTATTCAATCCCACGATTTACTTCAACCAAGAAAAATTTTCTTGGTTCAATACTTTTTTTTTTTCAGTGTAAAATAACGAGAACAAATATTTAATTAAATAAAACTTGATTTTAAAAAAATTAAATACAGGTCAAGAACTTGTTCAAAAATTTAATTATTTTTTCTCTTTAATTTTTTAAACTGTGGCTATAATTTCTATTTATTAAATTATATTATTTTAAAGATTTCTAAAAAGACTTAATTTAAAAATCGTAAAATCGGAGTCAAATAGTAAAATATATATGAAAAATAAACGTTTTTATAGAAATATTTGTAATTGATAAAACTAAACGCAAAAATGTTACGTACACGTTTAAGTATATAATGTAGTTAATGACTATTTCTTATCGATATTTATTAGCAACGACTTCTTGTCTTGAAAACAAAGCAGTAAAGTTAACTTTTTGTAAAAAAAAAATCTACAAATTTTACAATAAGGACCGTCAATATTTACAGATTTAAAACTGGTAAATTATTAAATTAAGCAATTAACAATTTTTTTATTTCCAAAATCTGTTGTCTTTAAATTAAATTTATATTTAAATTATAATTAAAAATATTCAAATTAAATTTCTATTAAAATTATTAAAATTAAATTTTTATTCAAATTAAAATTCAAAATATTTCAATTAAATTTCTATTTAGATTAAAATTCAAAATATTTCAATTAAATTTCTATTTAAATGAAAATTCAAAATATTAAAATTAAATTTCTATTCGAATTAAAATCCAAAATATTTCAATTAAATTTCTATTTAGATTAAAATTCAAAATATTTCAATTAAATTTCTATTTAAATTAAAATTCAAAATATTTCAATTAAATTGCTATTTGAATTAAAATTCAAAATATATTAAAATTAAATTTCTATTTAAATAAAAATTCCGAATAAATAAAAAATCATAAGTTAGAGTTCAATTTAAAAAATACAATAAATCAGCAAAATTCAGTGTCTATCATAAAATCGACAAAAATGATAAATTTCCAAAAAACTCAACGAATCAGCAAAATTCGGTTAAAATTTAAATTAAAAGAAAATAACAGAAATTTTTGGAGGAGAAATTTGTTAAAGTGAAGTAACTGACGAAATTTTGAAGGATTATAAAAAGAAAGAAGAAATGTTACGATAAAAAGGTGATAAAGATTAAATGGTTGATTAAACACAGCTTTTGAAATGATAAAAATGGTTCCAAAGTACGCAGTATCTTTCGTTTATATGCAATCCCTCCTTTCCATTTTATTAATCCCTCTCATACTTGGATGAAAGTCCCCTCTACTTGGAGGTTCCATTCTCCAACTGGTATAACTATTAGTCGTGATTCTGACTTTGGTAAAACTTGACCATTAATCATTTAATCGGGAATAACGCCACGGTAATCATGAAGACAATAACGGCTACAATTTGCTTTGCAGCTTTATTTTATTTGGTGAGTTCTTTCATTTTTGTAAAATATTTTCTATTGGAAAAAATTGTTGAATAAAATAAATTTTCTATTTGTAAATAATTAAAAAAAATTATTAATTAATTTTAATTTTCTATGCAGGTTGCCAGTGAAAATACAATCGTCAATGTTGACCTTTACTATGAGTCTTTATGTCCCGACAGTATCAATTTCGTGAGGGATCAACTTGTTCCAACGTATCCTCATCTTAAAAAATTCCTTCACATCAATTTTGTTCCTTACGGAAAATCGACGGTTTGTTACTTTATTTAATTTTATTAACTCTAATAATTTAATTAATTTTATTAACTTTACTAATTTTATTAATTTTATTAACTTTACTCATTTTATTAATTTTATTAACTTCACTAATTTTATTAATTTTATTAATTAATTATTTTCCAATTTTTTTTAAATATTTTTTTCATTTGAATCGTGATCAACTTTTATGAGAATAAATCTCGAAATTTTTGTTTCTTTATTTACAGAAAATTTTTTTGAGGAAACAATGATCAATTCTTTGTTAGTTCTTTTGAAATTCAATTCTAATCAGTTTTATGTGAGAAAAAAATATCAAAAGAGTATTTTTTTATTTATAGAATTTTTTTTTCAAAAAAATAATTCGGTTCGATAAAATTAAAATAATTTGTTTCTTTTTCAGCACTTTAAGACTGACTCAACTTGGCATTTTACATGCCAACATGGACAACCTGAATGCCGAGGGAATAAAGCCCAAGCTTGTGCAATCAGCGAAATTCAAAATCTCGATCTTGGATTACAGGACAAACAACAATTATTGGTTGATCTTGTCGGTTGTGCCATGACTAGTCAAAATCCCGAAACTTCTGTCACTTTGGCAAGTATATTTACAAACGATATTTTTTAATACAAATATTTTTTTCCTTTGTTTTTTTTATTTTTAAACATTTCTCTAGAATCAACAGGAAAAAAAATAATAACAAAACATGATTATTATTTATTTCCCGGAAAAAAGTGAAACTTGATTAAAGAATTAATAATTAAAAATAATACAAGTTGTTTCCCGAAATATTAAATAATGGAACGTGATTAAAAACAAAATAATAATTTTCAATATTTTTTTCTCTTTCTAGTGCGCCTTGCAAATTGGCTTAAAAGAAGATTCAAAGAATCATATCGTTGTCTGCAAAGGAAATTCCCAGGGTGATGAACTTTTAGCCGGACACGGAAATATCACGAACTTGTTTCAAAAACCAATAGCATTCGTGCCAACAATTGTAATCAATGGAGTGAGTAAAAAATTAATTTCGTAAAAAAACTTAAATTTTAGTTTCTAAAAAAAGGAAAAATTCATTTTTGACAGAAAAAAAAGAGTTCTTTTTTAAGGAAAAATTTTTGAAAGTATGAAAGTTAACGTGAATCTCGTAAAATTAAACAGTAAATAATTAGCGTAAGTGGTGCTTCAGAGATTTCCCTTTCACTCGCATAACTGTCTCTTGAGTAAATTTATTTTCTTTCAATCACATCTTGTTTTTTTTTTTTATTTTATTTTTAAGTCACGACACTGATTTTTTATTCTTTTGAAACAATCAAACTAAAATTACTCCATCGATTAATAAATTGATGTAATTTGATATAAAAAAAATTGTTAACTTCTAGAAAAATAATTTCAATCATGTATTGAAAATATTTCTGACATTTTCAGATTTTCTAATAGTTCAGAAAATTTATTTTCTATAAAATCTTCTCAATTTTCTATTTTTAGTTGCTTAATTAAAAATTAAAAATTAAAATAAAATTCTCTATTTTATTTTTTGTTTTCCATTTTCAATTTTTACTTTTTTTAATACTTGTAATTTAATTTTATGTTGATTAAACAGATTCGTTATATTTAACCATTTTTTTTTAAATATTTCAATTTAATTTCATGGCAATTGAAAAGATTTTTTTTATTCCTGTTGATATTAAACAATTTTCTTCTTTTTTGGAAATTTTATTTAAAAAAATGAATTTTTGTCTTAAAAAAAAATTTATGGATTAATTAAACAAGTTTTTCAAATTGTTTGACAATTGTCAAACAATTTGAAAAACTTTTTTAATTTAATTAAAATTAATGTTTAAAATTAATTAATTATTTAAAAAATTTATTTAAATTCAAATATACGAATAAGTATATAAATAAATTTAAAAAATAATTAATTTGACGCTTAATTAAAAAAAACATACCATAAATAAATATATCATTATCATAAAAAATCAATAAACAATATATTAAAAAAATGCTTATTCTCCTATTCAGGTTTACACGAAAGAAAATCAACACATGGCAGTGAGAAATTTCAAAAAATTAATTTGCTCACATATTCCGGCCAATGAGACGCCCGCTTTTTGCAAGGCCGTCAACTAACAGAAAAAGGCGATACGTGGGGTCATCAAAAACGATTGGATGACGGTAATTTTTAAATAAAAAAGAAAAAGATCCATTAGTCATTAATCAAGGTCTATTATCTAATTCATATTCATTCACTACAAAATACTTATAATTTTCTTTATGTACAAAAATAAACTCGTCAAATATTATTATCACGTATTGACTTTGTATATCAATATTATATTTTTAACACTCTCGCAGTACGAAAATATCAAATTAAAATTTCACTTAATAAAATATAAACACTTTTTATAGAAAAATTGTCAAATGTAATAATATCAAATTAAAAATTAAAATTTTCTCAAAAAACGATCTATACATTAATATATAATATAAACATTCTCATTTGTAAAAAACATCCTCTTAATATCGCAGTCATTATTTTGTAAAATATAAATTTGGTCCATTTTCTTGAGATCACGATTTAATCTGAAAAAAATTCAGATTACCAAAAAAAAAACAAAAAAGTAACAAAAATTTAACCAGCGATAAAAATCGATTCTTCAAAATTCGTCAAATCGAAAAATTGCTGCTCAATATCGGGCTCGAGTTCTTGAAAATTGTCGTAATCTGCAATGAAAAAAGAAACGAAAATTAAAAACAAGAAATATTTTAATAAGAAATATTTTTCTATAGATTATATAATTATATAGTTAATAAATATAATAAACATTAATAGACTAATATTAGTAGACCGGATACTTACGATTATTTATTTAATTTCAAAAAAAGAAAAATAATTTTCAATCAAAAAGAAAGAAATATTGATAAATCTTCTTCTTCTTCTTCTTCTTCTCAAAAATAATTGAAATGGCAGTGCAAAGTTTAAAAGGACTTTATATAAAGAGTGTTGAGTTGAGATAATTTTTGAAGTCGCTACAAATAAAATGAAAGAGTTTCGGTTATGTTTCTTTTATAATTCGATTGTTCGTGCAGTGGTAAAGAGTGTAAAAATGGATCGGGTACGTGCGATGCACGTGTCACTTGCGTCGTGCGTGGCGCGTGCGTTACGTACACGAGAGCAAGTCTCGAAAAAAAAATCGAGAGAAAAAAAAACCGAAAGAGTAAGAATATTATTTTAAGACTCGGTGTGGGGTAAAGGCATAAAAGCAACCAAACCTCCTCTGAGATTCATAATGGTGGACCAAAAAGCGTGTCACTGACAAGATGTTTACACGATTTCATCTAGAATTGGAATATAATGTCCATTTCATTCTTGTCCTCACATTCCTCGCCAATCGTGATTTAAAAATAGAGAAAAAATCAAAACCAAAAAACCTTCAAATCAAAATATCAAATACTTTACATTCTTTCTCGGATTTATATTTGCTATTTCACTTTATCGAGATAACATTATTTAAATATGAACGGATAAACTCTGGAGAATTTATTTATCACTCAATTACTGTCTTTATTAAAATGGGAAATTTTTTGAATTGATTTTTATTTTCATTTTACTTCACTTTTATTTCAATTTTAATTTATTTCAATTTTAATTAGTTTTTATTTTTATTTTAATTAATATTTACTTTAATTTTAATTTACCATTGAATTTTAATTCAAATAAAATATTTCTTCAGTAAAGAAAATTTTTGGTAGAAATTTCCTCAATTTTTGTTCCTAAAGTTCTGAACGTTTAATAGAATGAAATTTATTTAGTTTCCCTTCAAATTTAAATTTTCTAAAAATAATATTGGGCCAAGTGTTCAAAATTAACTTGTAAAGTTTTAAAATATTTAATTTATGCTTTTGATTTTTATTTTAGTGAATAATTTTTGAAACTTTATAGTGAAAAAATAATTTTTTCATTTGAACGTTCAGAATTTTTAGAATATTTCCATTTATCTAATTATAATTCCCCTGAAGTTTCGAACGTTCAAATATTTATTTTCTGTTCAAATTTAAATTTTATAACAAATATATTGCGTCATATTTCAAAAAATGAAATCATAGTTTTTAATTTTTAAATTTCTAATTGTGTAAGATTTTCTTTTTTATTCAATGTTCGAAATTCTGAAAATATTTATATAGGCAAATAATTTCATTCTTTTCAAATTTCAGAACTTTTGGATCTATTAATAAAGTTTCATAATTGAAAATTACGAACCAAAGGAATAAAAATAAAATTTACGCTTACACAAAAAATAGGCAACTTTTTTTCCTTTTCAAAAAAGAAACGTAAAAAAAAATTAAATTGGAAATTAAAAATAAAGAATGAATAGAATTCAAAAAATTGCATTACTAAAAAAATAGAATAGAATTCCAACAGATCTAAGAAGCGAGAAAACGGAATTACATAATTACAAAAATCATCTGAGAAAATTTTTCAATACGAGTTTCCCGATAAGATTCAAATCTTTCGTTTTGTTTTCACGCAGTATTCTCGGAATGATTCATCGATAATTTTCATTTTACACACTTGAAGGTGAATAATTATTCACCTTGTGGGTGTAATAAATTTTCAAAAAAAATTGACTTTTTACCTGTAATATTATCGTTGTAATTGCTATGATTGAGAAATCGTTTCACTGACTCGTAGGGAATGAATTCCTGTTGGCTGTCGTCGAAATTTAAAGACAATTCCACATTGTCGTCGTCGAGAACATCGGAACACTTTCGACTTCGATAATTTCCATTGTTGTTGATCGTGATTTCTTGTTGATTATCCAATCGTAAAACATCCTCGTTCGTTGTTTCATGATAGACACGAGTTAACGACGATTCTTTCGTGGATAATCCCGACGATGATTTTGACGATGAATTAGATGAATTTTCTGTGTGATTTTTCAAATGTTTTCTTAAACTCGATGGATCGGTGTAACGTTTACCGCAGCCGGTGACTTGACAAGCGTATGGTTTCTGGAAACATAAATAGTACAAATTATAAAATTTATAATTTTTTATTAATAATAATTAATTTTCTTATTATTTTTTACATTTCTTTTACAATTTTTCTACTATTTTTTACTTGTATTTTTCTTTTATTTCAAAAATGTTTGTCTTTTAATTTTAAAGATAAATAATAATAATAATTACGATAATAATCATTATGAAAAAAATACGATTATTCATATAATTACCGTGTCGTAATGAGTTCTTTGGTGTTTTGCACGATCGCTGCTGTTGCTGAATGCTTTCGAACAACCGCGATGTTGACAGGCGTAGGGCCTCTCGCCCGTATGAGATCTTTGGTGGATTTTCAAATTTTCCAGTCGAGAAAACGCCTTCGTGCAGCCCGAGAACTGAGAAAAAGTTAATAGTTTTAATTTCACAATTTATTATTTAATTAAAATAGAAAAATAAAAATAATTGATCTTCATTTTATTGATAGAATAAATTTGACTCATTAATAGAAATGAAAAACTAAAGAAAAAAGGAAATAACTAAAAAAAATGAAAAACTAAAGAAAAAAGGAAATAACTAAAAAAAAAGAAAAACTAAAGTAAAAAGGAAATAACTAAAAAAAAACTATAAAAAAACAATTACAAAAAATGGAAAAGTTAAAGAAAAAAAAAGAAAAGAAGAAAAAGAAATAAAAAAATAAAGAAACTAAAGAAATTACGTTGAATATTTTTAGAATAATTGATTAAAGAATACTTACTGGGCATTTATTTGGCTTTTCGCCGCTGTGGACCCTCATGTGAATTAATAATTTGTAACGAGCGTTGAAAGGACGCCCCCGAGGACATCCTTGCCAATGGCACGTGAATTCATCCTGTCCGGTGGAATTTGAATTATTCGCATTATTATCCTTATCCTTATCGCTTCGATCCTTGTGACTTCTTCTACTGTGAACATGGGAATATGAAGACGATGATTCAACGTGTTTTTTCTCAATGTGTCGCACCAAACCCTCTTGCTCGGCGAAAACACTTCCGCAATCAATCCACTGACAACGATACTCCTCATTTTGTCTCTCACCTGAAAAAAGAAAAAATCCCCCACATTAATAAAATAAAATCAAATTTACACAAAGTAATTAAAATAGTCAGACAAAAAAATTAAATAATAATAAAAATAGTCAAACAAAAAAATTAAATGACTTAAAATAGTTAAACAAAAAAAATAAATAACAATAAAAATAGTTAAACAAAAAAAAAATAAAAAAAAATCAAATAAAAATAAATAAAAAATTGTCAAATAATTAAAATTATGAACTAAATCTCACCATAGGAATCTTCTCGTTTCGGCGAGTTCTCCACTTTCAAAGACGGGACCCGTCGATGATTGTTGGCAATCAGAAGACCTTCATTCCTCGGCAGGACAATTTGATTGTCAATATTCTGAATTTGAAAGTCTTGAATATTATTGTGTTTGAAATTGGTTGGCAGTGATGATTGTTGGGACGAAACAAGATGACCAACGGCGTAGCAGGACGATGATGATGTGTCATTGACGATTTCCGTGTACTCTGTCAACTCATGATAAGCGGAATTTCCCGCTTTTGACAGATCTAAATTCGTCACCAAAGTCGTTGGATCACCTCGAATTAAACCCAAATCGAATTCTTCGATTATTTGCAAACTGTCATTTGTATTTGTATCGTTCAGAATCTCCTGAAATTGTAGATTCAAATTTTGTGATTCCTGAGGCTCTGGGATCTCCTCAAATATCTGCAAAAGAAATATTAAATAAATATAATTAAATATAATTAAATATAATTAAAAATAATTGTTTACTTGTTAATTAAATTTAATAAGTGAAATTTAAATTAAGTTATTAAAAATAATAAAGTGATTAAAAATTTAATTTATTAAGTTATTCAATAATATAATAATTCTAATTTAATATTATGAGCACGATAAATAAAATAATGGTACAATTTTAATTATTTTCAAATTCAAAACACGATGGAAAAATTTGTTTTTAGCATTTTTTTACACTATTTACTCTTTTGTTGTTTTGTTATTTAATTTATGGTTTTTATTTAATGTTTTCCTTCGAATATTTTGTATTATTCTTTGACGTTCATAATTTTGCAATTTTGATATCGTAGCATAAATTTGCCGATAACATACAAAATAACATGAGAGTTCAGTAAAATTTCAATAAGTTTTGCGTCATTCGTCACATAAATTGTGAAAAACATGAATTGCGATTCTCTCTATTTGGCAATTATTAATTCTCCGATTTTGAGCCCCTAAAACATTTATTTAAATTTCCTAAAAAACTGAATAATTGAATTTTTTCAAAAAGCACTTATTACAATTTTCGAACAAACAATTGAATTTATTTTTCGTTTTCAACTTTAACAATGGAAACATTTTTCAAAAAATAAATAAATTCAATAAATAAATAAGTTTTCAACTTTAAAAAATTTAATCTGATTAACAAGGGCAAATTTTTTCAAAAAATAAATGAATAAAATTTTCCTTTTTTGAAACGAAAAGAAAATGAAGAAAATGAATAATTAGTACCAATTAGCAATAAATGATTAAAATTTTACAAGTCTTGGTAATTAAATAATAAACTGGTGAAATATTAATTTTGTATATTAATTATATTAGTAAAAAAATATTAATGAATATTACCTGAGAATTGGAAAAATCGGAAATCTGGCTTCCAAAAGGCCTCGAGAATGAAAACACCGTCTCGACCGGTGGCAATCGTTGATTCCTCAGCACTTCGTCGGAAAATTCACCGTATTCACTTTTATGATAGCCACTGCCCCATGTTGGAGTTGAAACTTCACTTCCGGTACTGTCCGGTGAATACAAATTTCCCGTTTCGGAATAATAAGGATCCGTGGGATATTGAAAAATTGAACTTATCTGATCCCATTCATTAATTTCCTCTGCCTTTGGACTCAGCATTAATGGCGAAAGGGTTGAATTCTCCATTTGTGACGTCCACTCTCCAGAAATGGAGCCCAATGATGTTCCGGAAAATGTGAAATTCTCACTTTCTCGTTTCATTGTACTATCACTAGAATTCTCTTCATTCAATAATCCCAAAATTTTCTCCAAATGCATTTTTCTTCTCAATATTTATACTTTTTTTTGTATTTATATTTCTCTAATTTTTGGGGAAAAAATTAAACCAATGATTCTTGAATTTTTCCTCTCTTAATTAAAATCATTTTTTTTTGCAATTGCTTTTTTGAAATGTTGATAAATCTTGATAAGATTGCAGACTATGGAGTTTAGACGTTTCTCTAAATGAGGAATTCTATATATTTATCTCGATTACGACACATGCATGTGACGTATGATTCGCTCTTATTTTCTCGCTTAAGCGAAAACTCAATTTCGAATTTTCTCAAAGTAATTTCCAAATTTTTTATTTTTGCTATTTTCCCAAAGTAAATTCCACGATTTACATCACTTTTTCTTCACCTTTAAAACTTGACTTATTTTCGAAATGTTTATTATAAATTATTTTGTAAAGAAAATCATTTTCAATTCTTTAATTTTTTCACCATTTTTGAATAAAAATTATTTGGAATTTTTCCTCCTGATGGGAAATTAAATAATTTCCGAAGTAAATAAAATATAGATAAATAATTATGTATATTTATAATTATATAGAATTAATAGAAATTCTCGATGCGATGTTGTATAGAGAGAAAATCACGTTATCTTTGAGACTGAAGATCGCGAGAGCTCGAAGAATGTTGCAAGTGAACTGACCCGAGATAAGAGGAAAGTGTGACTTCTACACTGGTTACAGAATTGAAAGATGCTGTTGGAGTTTAGAGAAAAGTCCCCCTCCACCCTTGAAAAAGAGCTTCTTGCATGAAGGGGGATGATATCCGAGGACCAGAAAAGAAGAGAGAGAGAGGGCCCTTTTCTCATTGGATGCGCCGCCCACTCGCGTGGCTTTCAATATAGGGTATTTAAATCTGTACTCTGTAAATATTATTAAAAAAAATTATTATTATTATTACAGAAATCGTGAGAGATGAAAAATTTTCATCAACAAGCAATTAATAAATAAAAAGTTCAAAAAATTTCCTCTTTTTAATAAATTGTCCCAAAATTTTTAATTCTCTTTTAAATATTTCTTTCAAACTTTAAATTTTTCTTTAAATATTTCTGTTTAAAAATTTCTTTAAAAAATTTCTTTCAAAGTTCCTAAACAAGGTTGACACAAAACTTCAATTTTGTTTTTCCCTGACTTTTCCCGGATTTCGAGACAAAATTTTCACTTTTTCCCTGAAGTTCAATAACTCATAAGAATATTATTATAAAATATGAAAAAATCATTATTTTATGTCATAAAAATATTGTAACTATAAATTCAAATTTTCAAAGATTTTAATTTAAACCCTTTTCAAAGTTCAATTATTTCTAAAAATTCACACAATAACTCTTTTAATATTTAATTATTATCTAAAATTTTACCTGAAATTCATTTTTTTGGTAAATTTTTATTAGAAAATTTTTCGATAATCCAATTATTTACATACAAAAATAAATAATTTATTCAATAATTAAATATTTCTTAAAATTGAATTTTTATGAAGGATTTTATCAAAATTTTTAAAAATAATTGAATTCTTTCGGTAAATTTAAAAAAAAAATTTAAGAATAAATAATAGTTTCTATCATTGTATTTAAAATTGTATAAAAAATAATTGAAATTTTGCGATAAGTTTTGTTATTTATGAAAATAATTGAACGAATTTTATTAAAAAATTTTTTAAAGAATTAAATTTCTGTTAATCTGACAAAGAATTAAAAAATTTTTTTTTTAAATAATTGAATTCCTGTAAAAATGTTTATTTTTGAAAAGAATTGAATTTCTGTTAAGAATTTTATTTGTAAAAATCATTGAATTACGGAGAAAAATATTATTATTCATGAAAATAATTACATAGTTTCTTGTGAAGAATTTTATTCAAATTTTTTTAAATAATTGAATTTCTCAGAATTTTCTGAATTTTTTTAAAAATAATTAAATTCCATCGAGAAATTTCATTAAAAAATTGAAAGTAATTGAAATCTGACGAAGAATTAAAAAAATTCTTTTTTAAATAATTGAATTCCTGTGAAAATGTTTATTTTTTTTAAACAAAATACAAATTAAACGAAATAAGAAAAATGTCGTTCGTTTTAATGCTCGAAACTCTAGGAACATATTTATTTAAATTGAAAAACTTTTTACTTATTGGATTTATTCCAGCTATAAAGTAAAATTTGAATTTTCATCAAAAGTATATTTATTTTTAATATTCATATATCAATATTAATTAGTTAGTTATTATTCAATATCTATTTTTCGTTTAATAAATGAATAAATATTTATAAACATTAAATATTTTCATGAAATATTTTCATTAAATATTTTCATTTAATATTTCCATTTTTATAAATATTTTTTCTCAACAAATATTTATTCGTGAAATATAATAAATATCTTTCAAAAGAAACACAAAAAAAATCAAATTTCTTCTCGAATCTAAAATGAAAAATTTTTGTGATTTTTGTTGATGGAAATATTTTGGATGTTTAGATATGTAAATATATATATATATATATACCTAGAAGATGTTGAGGGTTTTTAAGCAAAAGTTTTTGGGGTCGTTAGTCTTTTCTACCGCCTTGAGAACACATGTGGGGCCCCGTTAGGCCATCGCCTTTTGCTTCCTTCTTTTAAAATGCATACTGATGTCTTCGAACTCGTGCAGACTTTTTGCGAGTGCAGCATGCTCGCGAAGATGAGGAGAATGAATTGTCAAAGGAACAATAAACCATCTCAGACATTATCTTTTGTTTTGTTGCAAACTGATGAATTCAATGGTCCTTTTCTTTTTTCTTTTCTTTTTTTGCAATGTCTCTCGAAACTCTTTTTTTTTTTTTGAAAAAAACATCATCAACGGCTCATAATACAGATGCAGAACATTCCCTCATTATCTACAAAACAATAATAAGTTTTTTATTCTTAAATACTTTAAATACTTTTCCAGCGAAAAAAGAAATTAAAAATTAAATTTTTTTGAATGAAGAATTATTTCTTTAGGTATTCTATATAAGTTGAAAGAAATTTTCAAACTGTAACGGAATCTGTTTACTTTGTTTCAATTTTTTTTTCTAAACGTTCTTTTATTTTTACAAAAAATAATTTTTTATTTCTCATTTAATTTGGCTTTTATTTAATTTTAACAGTACAATTTTTATTTATTTTAATTTTTTTATTTAATTTTATTCTCTATTTTTATTTAATTCCATTTCGAATTTAATTAAAAGAAAATTTGTTTAAACAAAATTTTTAATTTTCTTTTTCTTTTATTCTTATAGTAGACTTTTTATTTATTTCCATTTTGTTTGAATTCAACGAAATGAAAATTTGATTTAACAAAATTTTACATTTTCGTTAAATTTAGCTTTTAATTTAATTTTCAATTTACAGTTTTACATTTAAAATTTAATTTTAATTAAATTTTAGGATTTTGTTTGAATTTAACGAAAAGAAAATTTGGATAAACAAAATTTCTCATTTAATTTGAATTTTGATTTAATTTTGGATTTTGTTTGATTTTAACGAAAAGAAAATTTGGATAAACAAAATTTTTCATTTAATTTGGTTTTTGTTTGAATTTAACGAAATGAAAATTTGATTTAACAAAATTTTACATTTTCGTTTAATTTGGTTTTTAATTTAATTTTTAATTTACAATTTGACATTTAAAATTTAATTTAAATTTAATTTTAGGATTTTGTTTGAATTTAACGAAAACAAAATTTGGATAAATGAAAATTTTCCATTTCATTTGGATTTTAATTTAATTTTGAATTTTGTTTGAATTTCACGAAAAGAAAATTTGGATAAACAAAATTTTTCATTTAATTTTGGATTTTAATTTAATTTTGAATTTTATTTGAATTTAAAAAAATGAAAATTTGATTTAACAAAACTTTACATTTTCGTTTAATTTGGCTTTTAATTTAATTTTTAATTTACAATTTTACATTTAAAATTTAATTTTAATTTAACTTTAGGATTTTCTTTGAATTTAACGAAAAGAAAATTTGAATAAACAAAATTTTTCATTTAATTTTAATTTTAATTTAATTTTGGAATTTGTTCGAATTTAACGAAAAGAAAATTCAAATTGAAAGAAATAAAAAAATTCTTCGTTCATTTGAAGAAGAGTTATTCAGTTACAAAAATTTAAGGACATAAAAATGAACCATAAGAATAAAAAACCAAAATGAAATAAAAATTAAGAGCCACTACAGAAATGATAATAGTGTCATAATCAGGACAAATAGACGAATAAATAAATAAAATATTACGTGTTAATAAACAGAAATTGAGAGTGTGAAGAAACGGTAGTTACGATAGAAGTGACGCGTGTGTGACAGCTGGTTTGACATTTTTTCTTTTTTTTTTTTCTCTTCTCTCTTCTCTTGCCTCCCCTCTGATTCTTCGGTTGCTATTAAACAGCAGCAACGATCCTAGACACGATGACAGGACTTGGAGTTTTCCAACGCTTTTTCCCACACCAGGACACTGACTGCCATAAGGGGTCAAATGACTTTTCCATATATACATTCCTTTTGACCTGAGTGAGTTCACATTCCCAAATGAGGGGTTCCCTCTGCAAGGATAATTATAAGAGAAAAATATTAATGGATTAAGGATCTCCTAAAGATTAATTCCTCAAAGTTTCTTAAAACATTATTTACAGATGGTACAAGCAGACTGAGAGAGAGAGAGAGAGAGAGAGAGAGAGTATTCTCAAATTTCGTAAATACTTTGACCTTTTACATGACACCCAGTAATAATTGTGGGAAAATATTTTGCGTTCGGAGTGAAACAATTTTCTATTTTAGTTTTTAATAATTACTTTAAAAAACATTTTTTAAAAACTTTTTTTAGTTTCTAAAAATTAATTTAAAAAACCTTTTTTTTTAGTTTTTAAAAATTATTTTAGAAACATTTCTTTTAATTCTTAAAAAGTTTTTAAAAAAACATTTATTTTAGTTTTTAAAAATTATTTTATAAAATAATTTTCTGTAATTTTACTATTTTAGGTAATAAATTTTTTTCTATTCTTAAAAAATAAGATATTTCAAAAATAAATTTTCCTATTTTTATTTTTTTGTGTAATTGTTTCCAGTATGTTTTTGAACCAAAGAAGCAAATAATTTTGCTCTCGTTTTTCACGCACACTATACAAATAAAATAACTATGTTGAAATATTGTTATTCGCGTGTGTAATCTTTTTCGCAGACGTTAGGAAAGTTTCAAATATTATGACGAAATGTCAAGACTAATTTTAATAATAATAAACTGATATACACTTATCCAGAAATTAGATCAAAAGTAGTTTTTTTATTCGAAAAATAAAAAGTTTTTCCATTTTTTCAAAAATAATTAATTTTACTAATTAATATATTAATAACAAAATAATGTTAAATGTAAAGCAACAGAAAACGGGAATAAATATAATTTTCAAAAATAATGAATTAATATATATTTATTACTAATTAATATTTAATTTAATATTTTTTTAATATTATTTAATTAATTATTTTATTATTTTTAATATTACTATTTTAACAAATTATTTAAATAAATCACATTTAATTTTGAATATTATTTTAATACAATTTTACTGACATTCGAATATTTAGTTTGATATCTATTCATTATTTATATTGAATATTGAATATTCAATTTTCAATAAAAATAGTTGCATTTTTAATGGTAGAAATAGAGAAAAGAATAATCTAATGGAGAGAGAAAAAAAATAATCTAATGGGGATATTGACTTCCAAAAAGTTATTTTCAGATTAGAACAATAAGTTTATCGCGTTTAGCACACTTATCAGTCGAGAAAAAGAAATTAGCAATGATAAAAAATTTTTCTTTTCAATTCAATCTCAAGTGTTACTTTATAGCACGATTTACTATTATAAAATATAAAATATTCTCCAATTTTTCTCTCAATTCGTTAAATTAAAAAAAGGTAAACTAAAATAATTGAAATTATTATTCCCTTATTTACGTCGTTTGCAAAAAAAAAAGATTACAATCTAATAACAGAATAACACTGCTAATAAAATTAAACTACAATATTATAATTAAGTACAAAAAATACGTATTTCATATGCTTCTAAGAATAAATAAACAAAAATCGCTGATAAATAAATAGAGAACAGAAAAATGAATAAAGAATACAAAAATGAATAAAGAATATAAAAATATATAAAGAATACAAAAATATATAAAGAATATAAAAATAATATAATGAATACAAAAATATATAAAAAATATAAAAATAAATAAAGAATACAAAAATATATAAAAAAATATAAAAATAAATAAAGAATACAAAAATTAATAAAAAAAAGGAAATAAATAAAGAATATAGAAAATAAATTAAAAATCGAATAATTGAAAAGAAATTAAATTAATGATCAAAAATAATGAGAAGGGGAAAAAATCTAATAAATTATAATAAATGAATAAAAAAATTGCTGATCAAAAATAAAGAAAAAAAAATAAATAAAGAATACGAAAATTAATAAAAAATACAGAAATAAATAAAGAATATAAGATTAAATAAAGAATATGAAAATTAATAAAAAAAAATGGAATAATTGAAAAGAAATTAAATTAATGAACAAAAATAATGAAAAGAGGAAAAAATCTAATAAATAATAATAAATGAATAAAAAAATTGCCGATCAAAAATAAAGAAAAAAAAATAAATAAAGAATACGAAAATTAATAAAAAATACAGAAATAAATAAAGAATATATGATTAAATAAAGAATATGAAAATTAATAAAAAATACAGAAATAAATAAAGAATATAAAATTAAATAAATAAAGGGAAAATTAATAAAAAAAATAGAATTAAAAATAAATTAAATTAATGATCAAAAATAATGAGAAGAGGGCAAAATCTAATAAATAATAATAAATGAATAAAAAAAATAAACAAAGAATACAAAAATTAATAAAAAATACAGAAATAAAAAAAAAGTAAATAATTAATACGAAGATAAATAAATACAGAAAATAAAGAAATTAAAAATAAAATAACAGAAAAGAAGTTAAATTAATTAAACGATAAAAAAAGTGTAGAGAAAAATAATATTAATAAAAAATAAAATCTGTAAATACATAAATAATTAATTCGCGACTAACAATGTATAGTGCAAAATACGAAATTTGACATGAATCTGTTTATCATTGAGAATGTCGTTTCAATGTTGATGACCCTAATGGAGAGAAAGAGTATGTAAGAAGCATATAAAATACCGCATTTGTACTTATGTTACATACATTTCGAAATATTGTATGACACATACTGTCACCCCCTAAAGACACACATTGACATTAACTCTGGGTCCAGGCTGAATGTCATATTATAAGTAGATAAGTGATACAGAATAGCACATGTGGTCTGTCAGCCCTTCCATGCAGAGCTTACATTAAAGTTCTTCGCCCCCACCCTCGACTCTCTCTCTCTCTCTCTTTTTTTTTCTTTTTCTTTCTTTTTTTTCTCAAGGCACCTGTCAACTTCGTTCATGGTATACTGTTTGCATGTGTGTATATATGCCTGCCACTAAAATAATATATGCACTAGCGAGGGGTCGAATGCAATCGTGTCATATATATACATATGTGGGCCCAAAAATTAAGAAATGGAAAACATTCCAGTTGAAGGGGAGAAAAAAATAGTACTTAAAAAACAGAGGGGGTGCGATCCCAGCAGAATTAAATTTCACTTGTAAGGCGTTAAAAGCTTTAACAGACTTGCACTCATGATGACTGAGTAGATATTAGAAATAGTGTGTGAAATGAACCGCATTTTTTTTCCCCGCTCTCTCTCTCTCACTCTTTTTCGAAAACCAAGTTTTTCAACAAACTAACAGGTTCACTGACATGCCAGAATTTAAATTACAAGTGTCTCTCCTTACACGAAAGATTTGTGGGAATAAAAAAAAAATTAAGTTAACAACGACGAATTAAAGATAATTATGTTGAAAATTGCTTTTATTTTCTATTAATCATTTTTTGTGCGAATATTCGCGAAATTGTAGAATTTAATTATCGCTATTCTTTAATTCTTGCTATTCTTTAATTATTTCTACTCTTTTACTATTGTTATTATTTTTATTATAATTATTTTATTATTACTATTTTACTATTTTATTATTGCTATTCTTTTATACCACTTTTTATTATTTTTAATTATTTTTACTGTTACCGCACTATTTTTAGTTGTTTATATTGTGAGTGAATTCTACAACAAATTAATCTTCAAAGATAGATTGTATTTTTATTTGTTTTTTAATCATTACACAACTTGAAATTATGCCAAGGACTTAAATACGAACAATTAATTTTGTTGCCGTTCAGTATATATAGAAATATTTTAAATAGATTTTTTTCAAAGTCTGTAAATTCCAAAGAGACAAAAATCTTTCAGCGACTTGATAAAATCTAGAATAAAAGTTCTTTTGTAGATAAAAATTACTTTTCGAATTTACAATTATTTTTCTTCTCAAGAAAGAAAAAGAAATTTCTTTCGCACTTTTGATCAAATGCAAATAAAACAAATTTTGAAATAAAAATTTTCATATTCAATCCATTGACAATTTAAAGTTATAAATAAATTTCTTTTTCTTTTTTGAGAAGAAAAATAATTCGAAAAATAATAATTCAAATGCGACAAAATAATTAATAATTTTGGTATAAATGAAAAAATAATAGCAATAATAATAAATTAGTAAAAATTCAAAAAAGGAAAATAAAATAGATTGAAGAAAAATTGAAAAAACAGAAATTGCAGAAGATTAAAAAGCAAAAATAAAAAAATTTCTAAAAGCAATTTTCAAGTTATTACACATTCCGCTTATTTTGTTTAAATTATTTTATCTAACAAAGACTATCGATAAATATCGAAAAAAAAAACAAAATTTCGCACAAAAAACAAAATTTTGTTTTAATGATATTAAAAAAGATATTTAGACAAAAAATGAACGTCAAATATAAAAACTTATCTATTATTAGCATTATTCCAGATGTATGATGAAATTGCGAATCGATGACAGATTTTTCGCTGCTTGAAGAATGTTCAGTGCGAGTTCATCCGCGTTCATCCAAGCTGAAAGCAATAAAAAGTGTGTATTAGAAATAGTATAGAACGCACTTGTCTTTTTGAGTTCGGTCAAGCGGGCGTAAAAATAGAAAGGCGTGCGCTCTGCATGTGACTTTGTATAATTAGTTACCGAACCCCAGAAGAAGACGTGTGTATAAGTGTGTGATGCATCTCTCATACTTCACGAACCCTTCGAGCCATCGAATTTAAAGAATCGGAGGTACCAAGTTTTTTTCCTTCACTTTTTTTGTCCCCCACTCCTTCTCTCAATCTTCGAAAAACCACACACAACACGTCAATGATTCCTTCTAAAACACTAAATCATTAGTTTTTTTTCCCACAAGAAAAAAAAATTTCTAAAAATTCCTTACCCTAATTTTTTTTTCTGTTTGCAACACATGAGCCACAATTAGTCAACACGAAAATAAAATCAAATAAAACAAAATGAAAATAAAAAATATATATTAAACGAAGATTAAGAGAAAAAATTCGAAATGCAACAAAATGAATTGTGAAATAAATTAAATTAAAAATAGAAATTGTTAGAAGAAGATGACTACATAGAAAAAGATTTTAGATCTAATTTTAGAGTTTTATTTTTATATACAAATCGACGTAAAAAAAGTGGAAATAACGATTATATTTAATTTCGAAATTGATGATTAATTCTATTCGTACGAAGAAAATGAACTATAAAGTGGACTGCCTATAACAGAACTAGAAAAAGTTGTTTCTCGGCAAACATCTGCTTGACTTTCGACGTGTGAGACAATAGGAAAATGCTGTATTCGCCCGCTACTCCAGGCAATCGTCAAGCAAACCTCTTCGGAATCTTTCTTATGATTCTGATAAAATTGAATACAATTCGGCACTTCCAGTGCAAAACCTTTAATCAAACATCCGGCTTTTACGTTCGTTACACGAGAAGTTGCTCCTATTTTTGTCGTAAACACCGCGACCAATGGACTTTCCTAGAAAAAAAAGAGAAATAAATCTCGTCCTATTATTTTATCTAAATATTTCCATTTAAGGCATACTTGGAATATAATCGCCAAATATCTCCCCGAAGGATCCCAATCCATGGAAATTACTCGTCCACCAATTGTCACCTCCTCCTCGTCATTATCCGGATTCGTGAAGGTAAATTTGCTGAGATCAATGAGAGGAACCGCGACTTTTGAGTCATTAAAATTGCCCACAGTTTTAACGTCAAAAATATGATCTTCCAATGGCATTGAAAATACAGTCGCTGGGTCTTCCGTCGATGCGAACAGAAGTGTCAAATTTGGTCCAAAGCACGCGGCAGCAACCCGCCCACTTGAGACTGTCCATTTTTCCGGTATCCAAGGCGCACCAGTGCCGATATTCCAGATCCTTTTTTTATTTAAAAAAAAATCAAATCAAATCAAAATTCAATCAAATTAAGTCGAAATTCAAACGAATCAAATAAAAATTCTATCGAATCAAGTTCTATCAAAATAAGTTTCAATTAAAGTCAAAATCCAGTCGAAAGGAAAATTAAAACAAGAAAGAAATTAATATGTGGAAATTAACGACAATAGAAATTACTCACTAATTAAAAGAGAATTAATCAAACTATCTACAACGAACCTAAAAACTTTGCTGCAAGATGCAGAGAATAATCTCGATCCACAAGATGACCATCGAGTAAAACACAAACCCCCACTGCCAACTCTCTTCAAGGGGATTCCACTTTCCCTCGAAACATCCCAGATTATCATATTCGAGTCTGTCAATGATGAGGACACTAACAAATCACCCTGGCAATTCACAAAGAAAATAAAACAAAATTAATTTACAATCAAAAAATCATATTATAAAATATAAATAATATAATTATATAATAATAGATAAATAATAAAATTAGAAACGAAAGTAAAAATACCTCTGGATTCCACGTGACACTTGTAACTGGTGCATGATTTTTATACTTTAACAGAGTTGCGTGACTCAGTGAATTACTGGCTGCACCCAATTCAATGGTCCATATTAAAATTCCCGATTGACAAGCAACTGCCAATTGACGACCACAATTTGTCCTCCAATTCATACAGCAAACAGACTTTTGTGCATTGTGCTTCAAAATAGCAACACCCGAAATGTCCTTTGAGAAAATGCGAATTCTATCGTCCCTGGTTGCCACCGCCAAACGTGTCCAATGTGGATGCCACGAAATGCAACGAATCTTGAAAAATTATTAACACAAATAAATTTGAATTCGGCAAAAAATTTATAATCCTCAAGTTCCGAACGAAATTTTTTATAATAAATTTTTCTAAAGTTCACAACGTTCACAATTGACGATTTAGAAGAAAAGTAATTTTCTATTTTAATTTTTCCACTTTTTGCATATAGTTTTTTGATTAGCGATTTAAAACAGGTTTGCCACGAATATTTAATTTTATTTTTCTCTGACTTTTCCCTGATCTGCAGCTTTTTTTCTGCCTAGTTTTGACTTTTTCCCTGACCCTAAAGAATATTCTGATTCACTCTAAAAATTGTTAGATACTCAAAAAAATATTCTCAATACATTTATTTGCGAATTTCTTTAATTGCAAAATTATTCAAAAACATCAATAACTTCCTTTTTCAATAAATATTTAATTATTATTTTTTCGTAGAAATTAAAATTCTTCAAAACATTCAAATTCAAACCTTTTTGAAATTCAAGAATTTATAATAATTTAAATTACCATAAAATTTTTCAAAAAAAGTTAATTATTTACAAAAATCCTAATAAAATTCTTCGCAAGAATACAATTATTTTTACTAGTAAAATTTCTCAATAAAATTTAATTATTTAAAAAATATGTAATAAAATTCGTTGCAATAATTCAATTATTTTCATAAATAATAAATCGATTATTCGGTAATTCATTTTTCAATCAATTTTTATTAGAAAATTCAAGAAGAATTCAATTATTTAAATTAAAAAATAAATAATTTATTGAATAATTGAATGTTTGTTAAAATTAAATTCTCATAAAGAATTTTATCAACAAATTTTTAAATAATTGAATTCTTTTGACAAATTTTTAATAAAATTTTTAAGAATAATTACAGTTTTCGAGGAATTTTATTAAAATATTGTATAAAAAATAATTAAAATCCTAGGATGAGTTTTATTATTTATGAAAATAATTAAAATTTTTCAAAAAAATTTAATTTCGGAAAAAAATTTTATTATTTTTAAAAATACTTGAAATTTTTAAAACAATTTTTTTTTAATTTTTGAACATAATTGAATTTTTTCGAAGAATTGTATTACTTTTGAAAATAATTGAATTCTTGCAACGAATTTTATTCGTGTTTATAAAAATAATTGAATTTCGGTGAAGAATTTTATTCTTGATAAAAATAATTGAATTCTTGAAAAGAACTTTGTAAAATTTTTTTTTAAATAATTGAATTCTTGCGTCGAATTTTATAAAAATCTTTTTAAATAATTGATATTTCTCAAAAAAATTTGCGAAAACAAAATCAAAACATTTGGAGTTTTTATAATTTTTTTTTGTACTTGATACTATAATATTGAAATAAATATTTTATTTGTAGAAGAAAGAAAAAAATTTCGTTTATTTAAATGTTCGGAACTTTAGAAACACGTAAATTTATCAAATTTTCAGAAATTCAAAAAAGTAGGCCTGTGATATTAAAAAAATATATATATAAATATAAATTAAATTAAATTGAATTAAATTTTCATTTTTATAAAATTAATTTACATGTTGAATTTACTTACCAGAGCTGTTATCCAATCTCGAGTATTAGCAATATCAGCAATTGAACCTGATCCAGAAATCGGAAGTCCTTCACTTCGAAAACTTCCCTTTTCCACTAAATCTAAAACTCGGGTTAATCTACAAAAATCAAGATTTTTAATTACTGGACGAATTTAATTATGAATTATTATCAAAAGCAAGACAGAAGGATATAGTATAATAATTGTAATAAATTATAGCAAACGATTATAATAATTATTATTCAATTTACTTGAATTTACAATTTACTCACGAGAGTAAACAATAATAATTACCATAAAATTTACTTACTGCGAGGCAATCCAAAAAATCCCCGGCGTTATTCTCTCTGGATTTTCAGCACTCGTAGCACGAATTGCTTCAATAATTCCCTTTTCTCGCCAAACACTAACAATTTTTTTAAAAACACTGTCCTGAACCGGAAGAAATAAATCGCCAGCTCCAATAGTGCGAACAGACTCACGAGTTGCGAGCATATCGTGTGTTATGGAAATAACAGGAAAATCACGCAGATATACTGCGAACGGTTGTGTTTCTTCATGAAGATTTTCTCTATTACAATAAATCAATTTATTCTCAATCAAACTTGCCGTTGTCCTGTTATCAAAGAGAGGATTCTCGAAATCCTCCAGAGATGATATTTTCATCATCTTGACCACTTGTTTCTTATCTCCTCTACTTGTTTTAAAATCCCTAATAAACAAAAAAACAATCGTTTTTCTTTCACCGCACTACTTGTTCAACATTTCATTCAATTGTCAGTATAAAAATTTACAAATTACACAAAAATTATGTAAACAAGAGGTTAGAAATCGAAATGTTCAAAATCAAAGATCAAAAGATAAACACTGTTAAAAACGAATTTACTTATATAAACCAATTAATAGTTATAAAATTCTATTCACAATCACAACACAATCTAGAATCACCAAATTTTTGACAAAAAACCAAGGGAAAAACAAAGAAAACAATCAGTTTTCCTTTTCAAAACATATCAATATTAAATTTGCAAACATAACCTCAAATTTTCTCCTCTTTTAGTTCGAAAAACCTCTCTTCCCGGCAAAGGTGTCACTACCAGCGTATGTCTACGATCGTTGCCAATAGCAACAGCCAATCGGAATCTCTAACAAAAAAAGCACATGAGCCCACTAAATTTAAAAATTCTACAAACAAACCTTGAAATTCCCAATGAGATAAATGGAAAATGTCAGAAATAACAGTTTTCTAAAATCACAATATCACAACACAAATAAAAAATAACACCAAGCGGACATAAATAAAGAAGACATAAATCTTTGCCACTTGCAAAAATTGAAAAAAGAGAAATAGCAATTTCCCGCGGGCAATAGGTGGGGACACAGAACAAGACCAGGGGGAGGGAAATGATAGTCCGGGTGGGGCGGGGTGAGTGGGGTGGGGTGGAACCAGTGTGAAGTCGCGAGTCGAGCAAGGCATTGAATAGTGCGGTTGAATTTTGCTGTGGATAGAGTTACCTTTTTTTTCAGTTAAAAATCCTAACTTTTCGTTAAAAAATTTTTCCTCCTTCAATTATCTAATTATTGATATTGTTAAATAATCGTTAGATAATGAGTGACATGCCAACGCGAATATAAGTGCCAAACCGGCAAAGAAATGTCGTGTCCCGTGAATGGCTTTTCCTTGGAAAACAATTGGAGATCGAAAGAAGGCGAACAACGAGGTACCTAGACCAAATAGAAGAAATAATAATAATAATAGAGCCGGCCTCAACGAGAAATGGGGAAAAAGGGTGCAAAACGAAAAACACGTTGGAGAACACTCAGTATTGGCAGTAAGTTTTATTTTAAAACACTTTTTTATTCTCAAATAACCTCGAAAAACGTTCTTTTTTTGAAAAAATCTTCTATTACGTCATATATTCGATGAGCACGCAAGTACAATTTTCTTACTGTTTTCGATTGTTTTTTTTTTGATAAACCTCACTAATTTTTTTTTTTTTTGCTGTTTAGTAAATTTTTACTCGGTAAAATTCGTCATTTTAGGGAAGCTGCAAAATTAAAGATTACGCCATACGGAACAAGGGTTGCGCGTTTGATTTGGTTTTTCATTCTCTGCCAAGGATTTATAACATTTATAAAAATATTTGCACATTTTGAGATGAATTCGATAAAAAATTGTGTGGAAATTATAAGGAAGAATGTTTTGAAAAAGAAATCCAAAATCCAAGTGATTGTCATCCCTGTATATATACGACTGACGGAAAATCGAAATATTTTTTGCAAAATTTCATTTTCGGAAAAGTTCTTTTGAAACGAGAGAAAAATTAGAAAATTAAAGTTTTTAATTTCATTTCAACGAAAGATAATTAATTTGAAAGATTAAGTTGTTTACACATGAAGACAAATACTTAGAATCAAATATTTTTTTTCGAAAAAAATTATTGTGAAAATTTAAAATTAAATACGATTTGGAAATAAGAATTGAAAGAAAATAGGAAAACATATTTCCGAAATTAAATGTTTATTCAATAACAAGTAAATTGAAAAGTAATATTTCTAATTGATAAAAAAAATTCTCTCAAAAATAATTTCCAAAAAAAAGTAAATTGATTTTCTGATGATTCATCATTGTTTTTGTATTATAAAAACCGTACAGTTTTGCTTGACCGCAATTTCATAAACACTGATGAAGACAGGATTTTTTTTTCCTTTTTTTTGCTTTTCTCTTTCATAGTGAATTGAAAATTGTCTTCGTTATTTGTAAATATAAACAAAGGGGAGCAGAGATCTATTAAGTGCGTGCACTTGATTTCACTTATCCTAGTTTTTTTTCATTTTTTTTTTCTTTCTTTAATAGAGAATTTTATCCACGTAAAATGATAATCGTTCACTAACGAGCTATTTTATATGTGTGTGTATATATGCTCTCGGTTCGAGAGACAAATAATTCACTTTGATTTTCTTTATTATTTGTTTCAAGTTGTCTATATATATCAAGAGTTATTGCTCTTTTTTTCATTCTTATTAATATTATTGAAGAAGAAAATTAGTTTCTCTGTATGAGTCAGTATTAATACAAACGCATATGATGTAAATAACAATATCGCGATTAAAATCTTTATTCTAAATATTTCATAATAAACAGAAATTCGCTTTTAATTGGCACAAAGAAAAATAGTGGATAACTAATATTTTTCCAAGTATTTAGAATTCATATAAAAAATATATTCATTTCAATAAAATTGCAATTATTGTTGATAGCAAAAAAATGAAGCACATAACTAAATTAATAACAATAACAATCGTAATAATAGTAATAATAACAATAATAATAATAATAATAATAATAATAATAATAATAACAATCGTAATAATAGTAATAACAATAATAATAATAATAAATAAAAAATTATGATAATTTTTTTTTATCAAATAATTATTTTTACTACACGTAAAATTATGTTTCTTGCAGCAGAAAATTTTTCTAAATAAAATATAATAAAAATAATAAAAATCATAATAATATTAGCAGAAATAAATAATAAAAAATGCTTTATCAATAATTATAATAGTCATAATAGAAAATAGAAAATTAGAGAATATTGGAAAAATATTGCAATTATTATCAAATTAAATAATTAGGAGATAAATTTATTGATTTTCGATTTCTTTTTCTCGCCCATTCTTTTGCTGGAGATGGCAAACTTTTATTGGACCTTGTCAGATTGTAAATCCGGTAAAAAAAAAATGCATGCGATCGCTATAATTCTTTTGCCAGAGTCGAGGCAATCGATCCAAACACCCTCTCAGATACTGTCTAGTCTCTGTGAGGTGCTTTTACCTGTTTAGAATTTCTTAGATAACAAATATTCCTCTTGGGAATTTACAATAATTATTTAAATTTTCCTCATTTCCTTCAATTGAGAGACTGTGAAAAATTTATTTAATTTAAAATAAACGATTAATTGTCTACTATCAAATAAATATTTATACTTGACTAAGATAATTTTTTATTTTAGTCAATTAAATTATATTTTCTTCAAATAGTGAAATTGTGGTCCAATGGAATTTATTTGATTTAAATACAATTTATTTAATTTAATGAAAATTTATTTGATTCAAGTAAATATTTATTTGATTTAAAAAAATGTATTTGATTCAAGTAAATATTTATTTGATTTAAATAAAATTTATTTGATTCAAGTAAATATTTATTTCCTTTAAAAAAATTTATTTGATTCAAGTAAATATATATTTGCTTTAAAAAAATGTACAATTATATAAAAGTAATTATAAATTATATAAAAGTAAATATTTATTTGATTTAAAAAAAATTTATTTGATTTAAGTAAATATTGGATAATAGACGAGTAACCGGTTATTTGAATCAAATAAATATTTTTTCAGTGCAATAATGTTAATGAATATACAATCAAAATTTTTTCATTTTTTACTCATAAGAAACATAATTTTACGTCTGGTAAAAATAATTATTTGATAAAAAAAATGTATCATAATTATAATTTCTTACTTTATTTATTTATTTGAAAATTAACTGGACACAGGCCCTTTATTATTTATTACATTATTATTAAGCGAATAATTTTATTATTAAATTATTTTTAATAATTATTTTTAAGAACAAGTAATTATTTTTTAGACACAATTTAATGCGGATGTTTTTTTTGCAAATATTTTCTTAATCTCTTTGAATTTTGATACAATCATATAATTATGCAATGCTACAAGAAACAAAATTTAATGCGTATGGTAGAAAATATTATATATGATAAAAAATATATTTATCATTATAATTTGTTTCTTGATTATATTATTAAATGTTTATTTTTAATAATGAGTAATTATTTTTTAGAGACAATTTAATGATGATATTTTTTATTGATCAAAAATTTTGAGAATTAAAATGAACGAAATATTTTCTATTAAAAATATTTCCGTAAATTTCTGATTGCAAAAAGAAATTAAAAATTTTACATTTAGAAACTTTATAGTTAATTTTTTTGATAGTGACGCAAAATTATTGTAATAAAAATTCAGTTTGTAGAAGAAATAAATAAATTTCTTTCATTTGAACGTTCCAAACTTTAGGAATATTATTTTTTTGGAAAATACTACAGAAATCATTGATTCGAATATTGTTTACTTGATTAAAAAACTAGTTAGTTGCAAAAAAACTTTATTTAATAATTCTTTAAAATAATGGAAATTTCAATTAAATAATTAATTGTATTTTTATATTTTTAATTTATCTTTTTGTGTTTTTAATAATTCTACTTTTGTGTTTTTAATTGTATTGTTTTGTATTTTTTTCAATTTATTTTCCTGTATTTTTAATTATAGTTCAATTCTATTTTTAATCAATTATAATTTTAATCAATGACTTTCGAAAACAATGGTATTTTTACCGAAGACACAAATAATTTTTTAAAATGATAGGTAATTTTGTAGAATGAATTTTTTTTTACAAAAACACTTTTTCGGAAAAAATCCTAGATTTTCGTTCTCATCCGCGATTTAATAAAAAAAAATGATGAAATTCGAAGGTCAATTTAGGTCGATAATGACCTTTACTTAAATAACCCAATAACTACGCTCTGAATGTACTTTCGCAGTTCTATCTTCTGTGATTTGATTTCGATTTTTTACATTATATGTTGTTAGCAAAATATTACTATATATAATAAATACTAATCTTTACACTGCACATTATAACTTCCACAGTAACAAGAAATTTTACTAACAAAATAAAATTGAAAAAAAAATTTTATTTCGAAAAAAAAGAAAAAAAAATCAATGATCTGATTATTTGAATTATCGTCTCCATGGAGAATAACTAGAAAACTGTTTTAATTACCGACATAAAAATTGCATTAAGCATTACTTTGGACTAAAGGAGAAAAAAGAAAAATACTTCTTTTATCGTGTTTCCATTTTTTTTTTTTTTTTTTGACTCCTGGAGAGAGCATTTTATATACTTTTTTATTACAAGTCAGGTGCTTTGAAATTTTTAGCCTAAATGTTTGCCTTTTATTTCTTAATAGCTTTTTCTGATTTTTCTTGTTAATACATTCTCTTTTTTCTTACTTTTTGTTTGGACGGAAAAACAAGAGTTAAATATCAAATAAATGTCCCGTTTATTTTTGTCAATAGATAAATAAATAAATAAAAATAGCATTTAATTAGAATTAGTAAAAATAATTTACAAAATTAAGAAAGAAATATTTTTCGAAAATTGTCGTTTTTTTTATTTTTTTTATTCCAGAGTTTTAAAAATAGTTAAATAAATAAATAAATATTTAAATTTAGGAGTAATAATTATACGAAAATAGCTTGCCCCGTTAATATTTAAATAAATATGTAATTAATTAAATAAATAAATAAGTACATAAATAAATAAATAATTTAAAATAACACGAAAATTAATAAAATTAATTTACATTTTCATTTATTTTTTTATCTTTTATAAATTATTATTATTAATTATTAACATTATTAATATTAATTATTATAATCGAATAATTTTTGGTTGACTGCATATAACAAAGATAATTATGTTTGATTCAAATATATATTGTTTTCTCAGTGTATAATTCGTTACATACTGGCAGCCAATTATAAAACTAACATTGAAAAATTCTCTCTAATATTTGCAAGAATGTAACTCGCTTTTTTATGTAATCTTTGACATTGTATAAAAAGACGATTGCTTCGTTTTTTTTTTTTTCTAATAAAATTCTCGGAATCTTGTAATATACATTCAGTTTGTTTATTCCTTTGACATTATTTTTTTCTTTAATTCATCATATTTAAA